TTTTTTTTTTTTTTTTTTTTTTTTGAGACGGAATTTCACTCATGTTACCCAGGCTAGAGTGCAATGGTGCGATCTCGGCTCACCGCAACCTCCGCCTCCTGGGTTCAGGCAATTCTCCTGCCTCAACCTCCTGAGTAGCTGCGATTACAGGCACGTGCCACCATGCCCAGCTAATGTTTTGTATTTTTAGTAGAGACGGGGTTTCACCATGTTGACCAGGATGGTCTCGATCTCTTGACCTCGTGATCCACCCGCCTCGGCCTCCCAAAGTGCTGGGATTACAGGCTTGAGCCACCGCACCCGGCCAAGTTTTGCATTTTTAGTAGAGATGGGGTTTCACCATGTTAGCCAGGCTGGTCTCGAACTCCTGACCCAAGGCAATCCGCCCACCTCGGCCTCCCAGCTCCCAAAGTGGTGGGATTACAAGCCTGAGCCACCACGTGGGGCTATGTAAGTCTTAAATTCAATTAAAACAAATGTAATCATGTCAACTGTTACCTTCTACCTATTTTCTCTAAATCTTTTTAAAAATATGATGAATATGTAATATACTCAGAAGGGTGTTCTAGGCTGGAAACCTTGTTTCAGATGTTAGCTGACATTCTGAGTGGTGGGTGGGCAGCCAATGCTGGATACATTACAAACAAGACCCCTTAAAGCCATGTGGCCATGTGTCCTGAGGACACACACAACCCGTTTGTCCCTGCTGGCCCAGCATAACTGGCCTTCTGCTCTCAAAGGGTCCTGGTTCAGATTACATGACCTGGGCACCCTGCCTTAATTGTAACGCCTCTTCCAGTGCAACTTCCAGAACTCATAAACGGTGACTTGACACTGTCTTTTGAGGGGATTTGTATCCTATCTCTTGGTTTCCCCCAGTTCCTTTTCATTATTAGGTTTGTTGATGTCCTGTAAATTTATGGATAAACTATAGTAAACATTATTCTTTTTAACTAGCCACAGTTGATCATTATAGAAAAGGCATAGTGGAAAAACTGAATTCAGCCGTATGGGACCATTACTTTGTTAAGCTGGTCTGATGTCAAGTGCTCCTCTCAGAAGCCTGCAGGTGAGGTGCGGAGCCAGCCTTGGCATGCGGTCCAGAGCTGTGTGCGGTCACTCCCCTGCAGGGGCAAGTGCACGTTTGCTCTAGGAAAGAGGTGCAGTAAGAGCCCCGACAGCCCTGTGAAGTAGTGGCAATGACAGGAGGTACGGGAGAAAGCATCCTACAGGTATAATTCACAGGATCCAGACTGGAAGAAGCACTGCAAGACAAACAGCTTGTTTTCCTACAACAGAACACTGCAAGGGGAAAAAGAAATTTAAGAAAAATGCTGGCCTAGGTGCAGTGGCTCATGCCTATAATCCTAGCACTTTGGGAGGCCAATGTGGGAGGATCACTTGAGGCCCAGACCAGCCTGGGCCACATAGCGAGACCCTGGCTGTACAAAACATGGTTGTAAAAAATTAGCTGGGCATGGTGGCACACACCTGTAGTCTCAGCTTCCTGGGAGCCTAAGACAGGGCTCACTTGAGCCCACAAGTTCAAGCTGCAGTGAGCTATGATCACACCACTATACTCCAGCCTGAGCTGCAGAGTGAGGCCCTGTCTCTTAAAAAAAATTCAAATTTAAAAAATTTTTTAAAAAAAGGAATACTATCTAGTCACAACATACAGCCTTATTTGGGTCATAATGCAAGTAAACTAGGGAAGAAATGTCAAGACAGTTGAGGAAATATGAACACTGACAATAGTTGGCAATATTAAGGAATTACTGTTAATATGTTTAGTGTTTTAAGGGATATGGGTGTGTGTGTTTGGGTTCTGCATGAGTGTGTGTATGTCTCTGTTGTGCATGCATGTGCCTGTTTCTTTGTGTGTGTGTGTGTGCATCTGTATGTGTGTCTTAGTCCTTTTCAGCACATATGCTGAAGTAGGTTCCAATGAAATGAAATGAGGAAGTGCTGCACAGGGAGGCTGTCCCCCCAGCAGAGAGAGCAGCTCTCTCCCCTCCGCACAGAGGAGGCGGCTCTGTGGTGGAGAGTCCTCATGAAATCCAGTGGGCTTCTCTGCTGGAGTGAGTTCACCAGTCTCCCCGTTGAGAAGTGTGTTTAAATTATTCAGTGAGCCTCTTTGATCCTATCTGTTGAACTGTGTTTTGTTTTGCTCTTTACAGACAGAAGTGTTTGTAGATGCTGGGCCACCTTCCAAAGCAATAAAAGGCCCATCCTTGAGCTTCTGATGTGCCCAGCATGTTCTAGATTCTAATGGGCCTAGTTTGTTGCTGCAAACGAAAAGGGAGAACCTGTGTAGGAGGCAGGCTGCTGCCAGCTCCACAGCTCTTGAGAGTCATGGAAAGGCAGTGTGCTGCCCTGCTCACCTGCACTCAGCCACTTCGTCCCCTCCTTCCCACCAGCAGCTTCAAAACACGTTTCCTTTCTCAGGAAGTTCAAAGGCACAGATGGATGTTTGGAGATCTTTGCTAATATCTGAATTCAGGAAATTCAGGATGCTTAAAATGCCACTAGTGTCAGAGCAGGGCCCAACCCTTCCACATTCTCCAGGTCCTCAGCGAGCCTTCCCATCAGCTCCTCCTTGGGGTCTGAGCTGGCTCTGGGCACCAAACAGCGCCAGATCTCAGCCAGAGGCAGCTCTTCACCAATGACTCCTGTTAACAGGGTTCTAAACAAGCCTCTTTTTCTTATTTTTTCAGAAGAACACGAGCTGCCTGTGGACATGGAAACCATCAGCCTGGACAGAGATGCAGAGGTAATGCTGCCTGCTCAGCCCAGCCTCAGGGGTGCAGTGACAGACCACCCTGTCAGGTTATATTGTATGAGATTAGAAAGTTAGTTCCCTAGTTCATGTTTTTCATGCCAGTGATTATTATCCCACGTCTGTTCAACCCTTGAGGATTGTGTGGCAGATGAGATGCCTTTGACCTATACATTGTCTGGGTCTAGTGATTACAATACATGGCCGTCCTGACAGCCCCAGGCTGTATATGACTGGTCGCTGGGCCTCCTGAGCCCACAGTGTGTCTCTGATGGGGACGGGATGGGGTGCGTCTCCTCAGAGCCTGGGCATATGTTTTGTGCGTAGAGGATCTAGGGAATGAGAAAGATGTCAGGTGCCAATCATTTTGAGGGTTGGTTTTGCATAGGACTAAGTGTAAGTCAACACTAAACCAAAGATCCACCACAGCACACCCTGTCACTGACATCTGTCTGCTGCAGGCCCACCTGGCACTGCCTCCCCCACCGTTGCCCACTGCCAGGCCTCCTTTGATCGCTCCTCTTCTAGGACACAGGTCTCCAGCCACTTTGCTATGGCTGAGTATAGGTTTCTGCTTTGTTTCAGGATGTTGATTTGAATCACTATCGCATTGGGAAGATTGAAGGATTTGAGGTACTGAAGAAAGTGAAGGTGAGAGGAACTGTCACAAGGGAACTATGGCACTACCTGTGGGATGTGGATGAGTCCGGAATTGAGCAATCAGTCCTAAGCTGGGGTCCTTGTCCCAGCCTGTGGGAGGTGGGGCTGACTCCACCTTGTGGAAGCCTTTCTCTGCTGGGAGCGTAGTGGGTGTGAGACAGCAGTCAAGGGGTTTGAGGTACAGCCCGGGGCTTATCGCTGTTGAGCTGAGGTGACTCCTGACTCTGGCCTGCCTCATTTCTGCGCCTGTGTTCAATTAAGCCCTCACCGAATTTTACGGCCCTCAGTGCATCTCATTTGAATTTGTTTCTCAAAATTGAGCCCACCAAGGGCTCTTAGGCTCTGCCAAGAGTGGCAGATATCCACACGCCAGGCCAATGCCTCCCTCCCTAACTAGGCCTCTCGGTGTGGGGCCTGCCTTTGCCTCCTGCCTCCCTTTGGGTTCCTGCTCTTCCTTAGGGTGTATGGAGGAATTCTAGCTTAGTGCCCTTGCCCACCTGCCTCCCAAAAGTCAGCGCCTTTCTAGGAAACAACAGAAGAATAAAGACACGTCCTTCCACCAGAAAGGCCTGTCCTGTGTCCTCCAGCACAAGCTGAGGCCTTCTCATGGCCTCCCCCTTGCCTGTGTCAATTGTCCTTTTCCCATCCCCCAGACTCTCTGCCTCCGCCAAAATTTAATTAAATGCATTGAGAATCTGGAGGAGCTACAGAGTCTTCGAGAGCTGGATCTTTACGACAACCAGATCAAGAAGATTGAGAATCTGGAGGCGCTAACAGAGCTGGAGTGAGTCATGAGACCCATAGGAGAACGTGGTGGGGAGGCCACTGGGTGGGGGGTGTCCAGTCTCTCCAGAGCCAGCCCCCTGCTGGCTCTTGGCCCTTGAGAGGCTGCCTCTGCCACAGGGTCCTGCCCTGCATCTGAATCCCAGGCCTTTGCCTGCCATGTTCAGGGATCCAGGAGGCCGGGTCAGCTTCATGCGTGTCTTCACTTTCCTAGACAATCCTGACTTGCAAATTAAATCTCCGGTGGGAAGGCTGCAGTGGGGACTTCTGGAAAGCCTCCATTCACGGATGATACTGAGATCAGTAGAGGAGAACGTTAATCCAAAATTTCCTGTTGCCTTTTGAATTTTTTTTTTTAATAAAAAAAAAAGTGACATTTCTAAAATAAGGAGTTAGGCCCTCAGCCAGGTGCAGTGGTGCACACCTGTAATTGCAGCACTTTGGAAGGCCACATTGGAAGGATCACTTGAACCCAGAAGTTTGACGTAGCCTGGGCAATATAACAAGACCCTGTCTACAAAAATTAAAATTTAAAAAGGAGCCAGATCCTAGTTATAACTTTACCTGGATTTCTGCCCCTTTGCTGCTCATTATTTTTGTTTGTTTTGTTTCTAATTCAATACTTATCAGGTCCCTTCTGTGTGCGGAGCCTGCTGCGAGGTCTTGTCACTGGCACAAGTGTGAATGAAACATAGTTTCTGCCTCAAATACCATGCTGGGAGCCAGGGCATCAGGAGCCTGTAGGCTGCCCCTGGCTTGCTCCGGGCTCCTGGGCAGCCTCCAAATCTCTCATGATAGCATCAGTGTGAGCCAGGCACTAGCAGGGCACAGTCAGATCCCCAGCTCGATAGTGACTGCAGTCTCCTGATGGGGATGCCACCTCTAAGGTGGTTGTGAGTTCTATGAGACCTATGCTCATGTAATTTTTTTTTTTTTTTTTTTTGAGACGAAGTTTTGTTCTTGTTGCCCAGGCTGGAGTACAATGGCACAGTCTCAGCTCACCACAACTTCTGCCTACCTGGTTCAAGCAGTTCTCCTGCCTCAGCCTCCCAAGTAGCTGGGATTACAAGCATGTGCCACCACTCCTAGCTAATTTTGTATTTTTCGTAGAGACAGGGTTTCTCCGTGTTGCTCAGGCTGGTCTAGAACTCCCGACCTCAGGTGATCCACCCGCCTCGGCATCCCAAAGTGCTGGGATTACAGATGTGAGCCACTGCGCCTGGCCACTCATGTAATTTTTTTTTTTAACTGTTTTGCTTGTTCTCAGGATTCTAGATATTTCTTTTAATCTGCTGAGAAACATCGAAGGGGTTGACAAGTTGACACAACTGAAAAAACTCTTCTTGGTCAACAATAAAATCAGTAAAATTGAGAACTTAAGCAACTTACATCAACTACAGATGCTAGAGCTGGGATCTAACCGCATCCGGGTAGGTACAGACAGCCCTGACTGGTATATTCAGGGAGAGGTAGCTAATGGGTTGTGTGTGGGCTCGGTGGGTGTATGTAGAGTGCATGGTGAGCTTAATTTTTCTTACGATGCTGTGATTTTTTTCATGAACAGGGAAATTATTATTTTTAAAGAAATGCTAACTAGAAGTCAGTATCAGTAAGCCCTAACTGAGTGGTCTAGCCTTTCTTCTGCACGTAGTTTTCAGTTGCTCTTCATCCAAATCATGATTCTAAATCACACCATTCCCAGTTACATTCTGCCCGAGATGAACCAACCTACCTGAACGCCTTGCTTGAACCTACTCATGGTAATCTCTGGAATGCTTCTTTGAGATGCAGGTTTCCCAAGCCCAGCAAAGTGATCACTTGAAGTGAACTGATGTACATACCAGGGGCTTTAGAAAGTGTCTTGATGCTGACACACTCCCGAAGGCAGTGCTGAGTTGGGCCTTCCTTCCTAGACAGCTTCATACTCCTGGAACACAGTCCCCAACAGGATTAGATCTGTTCTCCAGGATCCATTTGACCTTGAAAACCTGGGACAAAATGGAAATAAGAGACTTGAAAGGTGATCTGGTGTTCCACAGAAGCAGGATCGAGCCTTCATCTGCTGATCATCACCACTGTCATGTGCTGGAGGGGAACCTGGGAGGGCGTCCCAGAAGCACTGACGTTGGGGGTGGATCTACCAGGCAGAGAGGAGGCAGGGTTCCCATGGGCAGGGAGGAGGACTTCTGTCAGCTAGAAGAGCACTGGAGCCCCATGCCCGGCTCCTAATCGGGGTCATGGCCCAGAGCCTGTGCTTCTCCTGGCCTTGCTTAGTGGCTCCAGCAGGTGTTCCCGAGCACGCCTGCCCCTGCCCCATGTTCCCAGATGCCCCTCGGTTTGGTTTCTGGAAGTATGATAGGATATAGTATTATATATCCTGGGCCCCTGAGAGCTTGGACAGGACACAAACCAGGGGAGGGTGGTTTGGCAAGAGTCTCTTGACAGTTATTGTTATAGACCTCATGGCCACAAATAGCAAAGCAGCACATTTAAGAGAGCAGCCCAGATGTCTGCATTTTATCAAGTTTCTCACTATGAAACTTTCCAGGGGAACAGTGGCTCATCACAAATTAATGCCAGCTCAGCATGTGAGGATGCCCCCACCCACGCCAAGTCCTGTGGTGGTGTGTGGATTAGCACAGCTTCCCTCCTGGAGTCCCCACCTGAGTAGCATGCACCTCATCTGGTTATTTTGTGTCTGCTGAAATATTTAAAGAATGACTTGTTCTGAGAGAGAGCAAACTGACAGAGGAAAGAAACTGAAGTCAAATCAATAAACAGTCGTTAAACAGCCTGCTGTAGGCAAGTCACCGTGGGGAGGCCAGACAGGGCAGCGTGGTCTCTGCCTCTGGAGGTTTATGGCTGAATAGAGGAGCACACCATCACAGCAAGGAAGAGCCGTGCAGGAGAGTGGAAACTGGGCAAGAGGGGGGGCAGAGTGCTATGGGGTGAGGGCCCCCCAGGAATCCTAAGTGAGGGCCCTGAGATTTCAAAGACTTGGGGTCAGAATGCCCCGTACTTCACTTCTGTAGAGACCGAGGCTCTTGATATGTTAATGTGTCACCTCACAAGTTTAGAACTGGAAGGGACTTTGGAATCTGCTGGTCTATGGATTCTAAGACTGTTCCTCAGAACCCCAGAAAATCCAAGGTTGGGCGTGAGCTCAAGACAGTCTTGGATTTGCCACTGTTGTATTCTACCTTCAAGTAAGATTTCCAGTGGAAATCTTAGCAGAGACACCACTAACCACACATCTCAGAGCTGAAGCCCAGACAGCTCTGCCCCAGTCCAGGTACCTGCCGGCTGCCTGGCACAGCCTGCCAACTGCAGCACTCACTGCTGTTCTGTCCCTTCCACAGGCAATCGAAAATATTGACACGTTAACCAATCTGGAGAGTTTGTTTTTGGGGAAAAACAAAATTACTAAACTTCAGAACCTGGATGCGCTCACCAACCTGACGGTCCTCAGTATGCAGGTACGGAGCTCCTGCAGGCCCTGGCAGGGCAGCGCTGCCCAACACAGCCTTAGTTTCATCCTTCACTGCCTTCACAACTGGCATTTTGTTTCACCATCAGTGCGCCATTGAAACCTTAGATGCCATAGACTTTACACACACATGTGCCAAGCAAAAACTTAATTCTCTTTTGTATTATTATTTTTTACTTTTTTAGAGAAAGGGTCTCTTTATCTGTCACTCAGGCTAGAGTGCAGTGGTGCTGTCATAGCCCACCGCAGCCTCCAACTTCTGGGCTCAAGCCAGCCTCCCACCGCAGCCTGCCAAGTAGGTAGGACTACAGGCATGTACTACCACGTTTGGCTAATATTTTGTGGGGAAATGAGGGGAAGAGATGAGGTCTCACTGTGTTGCCTAGGCTGGTCTCTTAACTCTTGATCTCAAGCGATCTTCCTGCCTTGGCCACCCAAAATGCTGGGTTTACAGACATGGGCCACTACTCCTGGTCTTGTTTTTTTTTTTTTTTTTTAAGAGACATCTCACTCCGTCATCCAGGCAGGAGTGCAGTGACAGGTGCAATCATAGTTCACTACAGCATCACACTCCTGGACTCAAGCAGTCCTCCCTCAGCCTCCCAGGTAGCTGGGACTACAGGCACACACCACCATGCCTGGCTGATGTTTGCATTTTTTGTAGAGAAGGAGTTTCCCTATGTTGCCCAGGCTGATCTTGCACTCCTGGACTCAAGCAAACCTCCCGCCTTGGCCTCCCAAAAAATGTCATTCTTTTTTTTTTTTTTTTTTGAGACGGAGTTTCGCTCTTATTACCCAGGCTGGAGTGCAATGCCGTGATCTCGGCTCACCACAACCTCCACCTCCTGGATTCAGGCAATTCTCCTGCCTCAGCCACCCGAGTAGCTGGGACTACAGGCACGCGCCACCACGCCCAGCTAATTTTTGTATTTTTAGTAGAGACGGAGTTTCACTATGTTGACCAGGATGGTCTCGATCTCTTGACCTCGTGATCCACCCGCCTCGGCCTCCCAAAGTGCTGGGATTACAGGCGTGAGCCACCGCGCCCGGCCAAAAAATGTCATTCTTAAGTGCCATGCCTCCCCCGCCACCCAGTAACAGTCCTAGATGGAGTTTAGCCAAAGGGGACTTCTTTAGAAGGTGGGGCTTATCCTAAATTCTAAAGTGTTTGCCTCAGTTTCTTCCATTGCACAGAGAACATCAACCTTGTTAGACCTCTGCATTTGGGAGTTGGTAAGCACTTGAGTGTGCCTATGCTTGTGTTTACCTTTTGTGTTGGAAGCAAATTAGCAGAGTTGGACCCTTGAAGTGAGATGGAACAGAGTGCTGTGGGGCAAGGCCCAGTGTGGTGGTAGCTGATCCCCTCGACTGACAGTGAGGGGCGTGTGAAAACCACTCTTAACCCTTGGTGACGCAGAAGTTTGTCGGGCTTCTTTTAAAAAGTTCCTGGCCTGGTGCGTGGCACTTTGGGAGGTTGAGGCGGTCAGATCGCTTGAGCCCAGAAGTTCAAGACCAGCCTGGGCAACATAGTGAGAGCCCATCTCTAAAAAATTAAAAATATTTTTATAAAAAGTTATTAGATCGGGCATAGTGGCTCATGCCTATAATCTCAGCAGTTTGGGAGGCCGAAGCGGGCTGATCACTTGAGGTCTGGAGTTCAAGACTAGCCTGGCCAACATGGTAAAACCCCATCTCTATTAAAAAATACCAAAAGGCCGGGCGCGGTGGCTCACGCCTATAATCCCAGCACTTTGGGAGGCCAAGGTAGGTGGATCACGAGGTCAAGAGATCGAGACCATCCTGGTCAACATGGTGAAACCCTGTCTCTACTAAACATACAAAAAATTAGCCGAGCATGGTGGCGCGCACCCGTAGTCCCAGCTACTCAGGAGGCTGAGGCAGGAGAATTGCTTGAACCCAGGAGGCGGAGGTTGCGGTGAGCCAAGATCGTGGCATTGCATGCCAGCCTGGGTAACAAGAGCAAAACTCCGTCTCAAAAAAAAAAAAAAAAACCAAAGAAAAAATTACCCAGGTGTGGTGGCCGCCTATAATCCCAGCTACTCAGGAGGCTGAGGCAGGAGAATTGCCTGAACCCAGGAGGCAGAGGTTACAGTGAGCTGAGATTGTGCCACTGCACTCTAGCCTGAGTGACAGAGCAAGACTCCATCTGGAAAAAAAAAAAAAGTCGTCAGGCACAGTGGCTTACGCCTGTAATCTCAGCGCTTTGGGAGGCCAAGACGGGCAGGTGATCACAAGGTCAGGAGATCAAGACCATCCTGGCTAACATGGTGAAACCCTGCCTCTACTAAAAATACAAAAAAAAAAAAAAAAAAATTAGCTGGGCGTGGTGGTTCATGCCTGTAGTCCCAGCTTGTTGGAAGGCTGAGACAGGAAAATCACTTGAACCCATGAGGCAGAGATTGCAGTGAACCAAGACTGTGCCTGGGCAACAGGAGCGAAACTCCATCTCAACAACAACAACAAAGAAAATAAGTTACTTTAAAATATTCAATAATTTTTTACACTTTATTAATTCAGGTAAACCTTCACCAAGTGTATCTTTTAACAATGAGTTCTTTTTTTTTTTGGTTTGTTTTTTGAGATGGAATTTTGCTGTTGTCGCCCAGGCTGAAGTGCAGTGGTACAATCTTGGCTCACTGCAACCTCCACCTCCCGGGTTCAGACAATTCTCCTGCCTTAGCCTCCCGAGGAGCTGGGATTACAGGCATGCGCCACCATACCCAGCTATATTTTTGTATTTTTAAGAGAGACCAAGGTTTTACCATGTTGGCCAGGCTGGTTTCAAACTCCTGACCTCAGGTGATCTTCCTGCCTTGGCCTTCCAAAGTGCTGGATTTACAGGTGTGAGCCACCGCACCTGGCCTAACAATGAATTCTTTATCTAAAAAACATGTAATTCCCAGCTGGGCGCAGTGGCTTACACCTATAATCCCAGCACTTTGGGAGACTGAGGCAGGCGGATCATCTGAGGTCGGGAGTTCGAGACTAGCCTGACCAACATGGAGAAACCTTGTCTCTACTAAAAATACAAAATTAGGCCGGGCGCGGTGGCTCAAGCCTGTAATCCCAGCACTTTGGGAGGCAGAGGCGGGTGGATCACGAGGTCAAGAGATCGAGACCATCCTGGTCAACATGGTGAAACCCTGTCTCTACTAAAAATATAAAAAATTAGCCAGGCATGGTGGCGCATGTCTGTAATCCCAAGTCCTCGGGAGGCTGAGGCAGGAGAATCGCTTGAACCTGGGAGGCAGAGGCTGCAGTGAGCCGAGAGCATGCCATTGCACTCCAGCCTGGATGACATGAGTGAAAGTCCATCTCAAAAAAAATGATTCCCATGCATGAATTTCTGCTCAGTACAGGAGGCTCAAAATTTTGATCCTCTTTTTCTTCTACCTGAGTCCATTCCAGCATGTTTTAAGTGAAATGCTCTATTTTTAGAATTCTTCAGGATTTCCTAAAAGCCGTTTCTTCTCTCGTCCTTTGTGTTGTGCTGACGGCTGCATGCTCTCCCTCTTGCAGAGCAACCGGCTGACCAAGATCGAGGGTCTGCAGAACCTGGTGAACCTGCGGGAGCTGTACCTCAGCCACAATGGCATCGAGGTCATCGAGGGCCTGGAGAACAATGTAAGACACCCGCTGTCGGTCTGGGGCTGTGTGGGCGGTGGGCAACAGGCAGGCAGGCAGCTGGCCGGCCATCACACACCGGCCTCTCGGGCCAGTGTCAGGAAGATGACCTGCCTCCAGAGGTTTATCGGAGAGACCTTCCCATCCTGAAAACTGAGGGGCCCCTCCTCATACTAAGAAGTGCCTGTCGGCCCTCTGCCCTGAGTGTGCCTTGAAGGGCTGACGCTTTCTGTGGAATTTCAGCACAGGCATCTGTAGGCTCCCTCAGTGGGGCAGCATCCGCTGCACACCACCATGCACTGCAGGCATTTTGCAAGATTTGAAAAAAACAAACCCAACCTGCTCATAAGGGGCCCTGTACTACAGAGGGTGACTGGTACCCCTCTAGGCCACTGACCTTCTGCTGATGGCCCCACTGGCCAGCCTCTACTTCCCAGCCCACAGAGGGCACAGGACCAGCTCTCAGTCCCAGCCCCCTCCTCCTCTTAGAGCATGAGCAGCTTCCTCCTCCCCCATTCCTCCCTGCCTGCTGTCCACACCTGCCCTCGCCTGTCCATGCTCCTTCCACCCTCCCCAGCCCTTCTCCCTCAGGCACAGGCCGGCCTCACACTGAAAGGAAGTATGCCCGCAGAGGCCTCACCTGCCCACCTGCTTTGTCCCAGTGCAGTGTTCAAGAGAAATAAAAGACTTTTTCTCATTCAATTTTACTTGTTTTTTTCCGTTTTGTTGAATTGCCAGCAAATATAACTAGATTGGTCTATGAACATAGCATTTCAATCTCATTAAAGGGCTTTGTGCCTCAACCCAGGGCCTAGTTGCCATCAGTAAATTTCACCAACTCCTGCATAAAATTTTGGAAAAATTCAAATTTGCCTGTGGAAAGTTTGGTCACCTTCCTCTGACTTTGCAGTGAAATTAAAAGCTTATAAAACCAGCATACAAACCAAGCGTTGACCTGTGTGGTTTAGAGTGGTAAGCTGAGACATACCTGTGGTGGAACAGCACTGGGGGCTGTGGAAGGGCCTGGGATTAGGGCCAGGTGGGATGCGCAACAGGGAGCCCATGCTCAAGGGAGCCCCAGTGCCCTCTTGCACACTGGCCACCCAAGCCGAGGCCCCGCAGTCACCACCAAGCGCCCACCGGGAGACAGACAGTCTGCATCGCGTTCCGATAAGCAGCCAGTCCCAGGAAAACTGGAAAGAAGTGTCATTCAGAATTTTACCAGTAGCAGTGCTACACCGCGATCTTGGTTAAACACCAGATTATTCTTGGGCCTCTGAAACAAAACAGAAAAAAAAAATTGTTGCCTTAAAGGTAATTACGTTATTGTAATCTTCATCATGATCAAATGTGACAGTCTTCCCTCTGCCATATTTTCACTAGAGATCAGACAAATACTTCCTCCTAAGTTTTGTCTCTTAATTTATCCGGAATTTATTTTTATAGTGGGAAATAAGATAGTAAATGTAGTTTTGTTGCAGATGGGAACTTAGACAGTGCCCCTCCCCAGTGCTTCGCGACTCCTGTCTTCTTCTGCAGTGTCTCCTCCAGCTCTGGGCTCTCTCCTGTTAGTCTAGAATATGCTTGCAGTGGTCCCTGACAGGTGTAACTTCTGTGGCATTGTCATGCCTTTGATGTACCTGCCCTCCTCACTCCGTTCCATCCTTTTTTTTTTTTTTTTTTTTTTTTTCTATATATTTTAAGCAGTTCTTATTAGTTTGCTTTTAGATGAGTTTTCACAACATTGTCCAGCTCCCTAGAAGAACGTGAAATAGCGTTGAGTGCATAACTGAATCCTGAGCTTAGAGGTCAGAGACCAGTTCTGACAGCCAGAGCCCATCACCACCTCAGCCCCTCCTACTGAGCCTTGGTATTTGGACCGCACGAGGCTCAAATCCTGCTGTGTGTTCCAGGCCACTTTCATTTTACCAGTTTCTGGGCTTGCATACCTGGTGACTATGAGCATCTCAGAACGGTGCAGGGTTCAGGGGAAGAGCTGCCATCTGTGCTAGAGAGGCCTGTCCCAGCCCCGCTGCCAGGCAGTGTGTCATTGGACTGCCCACAGTCCTGTTTTCTGCAACATCTCCTGAAGCCCTGTTTACTCTGAACCTGCCCCCCTGAGCTCCTCCCTCACACGTTGTTGCTGTTGGTACTCTGTGAGCAGAACTGACCAGGGCGCCAAGATGGGGTGGTTTGAAGGCACCTCCGGGCAGCATGTCGCGCATAGCCTGCTGGAGAGTGGTGTCGGACTTGACATCGCATCTGGTGCCCGCAGGGGCACTGGGCAGCAAGGGTGGTGCAGCCAGAGGCCACAGCCATGGCGCTTTTGAATTGGGAAAGCCACTGGCTGGGTACATTTTGGGGGAGGCAGGGGAAGGAGTGTTTGCTTTTGAAACATTTTTAAGCTCCTTTAAAACTTGGAAGGCTTTGGAATTAGAATACCAAAAAAATGCAGTAGAAAACCAAGGGAGGGGCTTGGGAGGCAGCAGGGCATGAGGGCCGAGCAGGGAGTTAACTTTGTCAGAGGCTCTTGGACAGCTTGTAAACATTCTCCTTTTTATGAGAAAAGTATTGCCCAGGCTTAGCTCATGTATATTGGAAAGTGAGTATCTGGTGTGCTTTTCACCAGATGTAGAAGATCCTAAAAACACACTCTAGTCTCCTGGTGGGGGACACACACCCTGCAGCAGGTACTCAGCAGGCCCAGCACCAGTCCTCAGGACCCGGCCCTCAGCACAGCTCCTTTCTCCGCACTCGTGCTTCTGGCAGCCTCTTCCCAAACAAGAGTGTGGGCCTGGGGTCCGAGTCTTGCCTCTCCCACTGCTACTGTGTGCCTGGGCACATTCTTAGTCCCACTGAGTCCCAAGTTCCTCATCCCTAAATGAAAAGAGGAACTTTGTTTTGAAGATTACTTGGTCGTACCTTTCCTCATGACGAGCACTGAGGAAATATTACTACAATTGTCAACCTTTCTTCAGAGCATCAGGGGGTTACTCAGTTCTTGCTGGGACCGTCAGTCTCTGGGAGCACTGGGCTTGGAGTCTAACACAGTCTCAAATCCCAACAATCAGAAGAGCTTAAGGAGGTAGCTGGGCAGGCTCTGATGGAAACACTGTCCCAGGGAAGGCTGCAGGAAGCAGGCAGGTCTCGTCACCCTCTGTAGTGTACCCTTGTCCTGTGAGAGCAGAGAGGGCAGCGTGCTTGCAGCCCTAAGCTCAGCGCCTGATACTACCTGTGTGATCAGTCATGCAAGTCACTGTTGATCAGAGGTAATCCAGGAAACATTTTATTTCCTTTTTTTAGAATAAACTCACCATGTTGGACATTGCATCAAATAGAATCAAAAAGATTGAAAACATCAGCCATCTAACAGAGCTGCAAGAATTCTGGGTAAGTTTAATACACACTGGGGTTGACGACACTTTGACTAAACTGGTCTCACTGATTAAAATGTCATATGAATAAATACAAGGATCTCCCGTAAGCCTTCATGCTGAGTGACTCCGTCACGTCATGAGATTTGGGGTGTGTAATCTTACAGACTTGTATTCGGTGTTGTCTGTGCTCCTCAGAGCGTGAGCCACGGATCAGCAGCGTTGGCATAGCTGGGGATCTTGTCAGAAATGCAAAGTCCTGTGTCCCACCACAGCTCAGATGCAAACTGAGTCAAAATCCTTGCTTTGTAAGACTCCAGGTGATTGCAGTACATGCAGAGGTTGGTGAAGCCCTAATCTAGGTATGGTTAGAACCTCAAATTGTCATTTGACTAAATAGTTTCCAAACCACAGCAGAGAGGCAGACACATTCTGTGCAGGTATATTCCAGCACAACAAGGAAATGTTGGATGGGTTTCTGCAGTTAGTCTTCTTGGAGTTTGCCTTGTATTTGCCTTGTGGTCACAGATAGGTTTCAGGAGTAGTGTTGCGGAGTCAGTAGGAAGAAAAACAACGTAAGAAGTTTTTGCAATTCCTCCAAAGTGGTTGGGAAATGATCCCCAAGTTGAAGTCTTCAGTGTTAGGATTCCCTTAGGGAATTCTCCCAAGGCTTATTGCCTTTCCCCTAGCATGTGGCCCCTGCAGGGGTCATGGAACAGATGTCACTCTGTGATGCTGTGAATGTCGTAGTGTCCTCAGATACATTCAGTCTACTCCAGGATTCATGCTGTGTAAGGCATCATTCTTCCTTGTCTCTCCTCTAGTTGTGCTGCTGACCCTGCTAATGTCTGTGCGTTTTCCTTTCCCCATCTCAAAAGGTTTCCCTAGAACACAAGTGGCTTGCTGCAAATGTTCCTTGCCCCTTATTGGTGACACTGAGTCTTGAGTAGTGTCATGATGTGATACCAGAGCACTTCTGGGAAGACCAGAGCCAGAATTTGGCAGGGGATAAAGATGTCCCAGGCCAGGGGGAGCCTCCCTGAGTCCAGGTGGGTCTGTGTGCAGCCCACCCTTGAAGGAAGGTGTGGCTGGTGGTAGGCTGGTTGGATCAGTGCATAGGGAGTTGGCAAAGAAGCCAGGGAACTACACAAAGAAACCAAACAGCAGGAATAAGGAGTCCAGAGACAGAGGACTAGGTAACAGGGAAAGAGCACCTGGCAAAAAATTAGGGGGCAGGTTTGGGAAATGAGCTAATACTGAAGCAGTGTTCCCGAAGCTTAGGATTCCTTCTGCATGCCCTGCCTAGGAACAGAGCAGGGGGCACAGAGTGCTGAGACCACAGACAGGGGCCAACCTGGGCACCACAGCTAGCAGGAAGTCAGGCAGGCTGGTGACCAATCACTAGGGGTCAGGTAGTGCCTGACCCTGTAACACAAAAGAATCCTGTTGGTTAGACCACCAAAGATAGTAAAAAATAGCCAGAATTTGCACAGCACTTTAATGGCATCCAGACTGCTTTCCATTCTCATCTAATTATCACAGCAACCATGTAAATAAGATCGTATTACCCCATTTTACAGGTAAAGAATTGCATTCCAGGAAGGAAAGTTGGAAACCAGGAACTCTCAAACTCAGTTCCATGCTCGTATCACATTTGAGATGCACATCGTTAGTCTCTAAAGAAGAAACAGAAAACCAGTCTTAACAAGTTTCTGGCAACCCAAATACTATGTTTATTGATTTTTCTGTCTTTGTTCTTCCAATTACTGAGAGGAGAATGTTGAAACCTTGCAACTATTATTATCAGTGGATCTGTTTCTCCTTTCACTTCCATTAGTTTTTTGGTTTTTTGTGTGTGTTTTGAAAGTCTGTTATCAGGTGCATACACATTTTAGGATTAAGGAATTCTTGATGAATTGATCCATCTGTCATATGAAACGTTCTTTATTGCTGTCCTCTTTATCCTTGTCCTGGAAGTATATCTTGTCTGTTACAAACATAGTCACTTCATCTGTCTTAGGATTAGTGCTCTCATGGAATCTTTGTCCATCCATTTACTCTTAATCCTGTGCCTTTATAATAAAAAAGTGCTTTTTGTAAAAAGTATATAACTAGGTCATGCTTTCTTATCCAGTCTGGCAATCTCTGCCTTTTAAGTGGTGTGTGTAGACTGCTTATATTTAATATAATTATATTTAAGTACTTTTTGTATAATGGTTGAGTTTAACTCTGTCATCTTAGTACTTGATTTTTATTGTCTCATCTATTATTTGTTTACTCTTTCCTGCCTTCTCTTTGGAGTCAGTTTTGTATTTTTTAGTTTTTGGCAGTCTATTTTAACTCTGTTATAGGCTTGTTTGCTATACCTCTGCACTAGTGTTTTCTTGTTGTTTGTTTGGGGGGAGGGTTTTTGTTTTAGTGATTCGAATTTTAAAATGCATTTTAAATTTATCACCATCTATATATTTTACATTTAAATATCTTATAATCCCTATGATACTTTATCTTTTAAAGACATTTTAAAATGGCCAGGTGCGGTGGCTCATGCCTGTAATCCTAGCACTTTGGGAGGCTGAGGCAGGTGGATCACCTGAGATCAGGAGTTCAAGACCAGCCTGGCCAACATGGTGAAACCACGTCTCTACTAAAAATACAAAGCTTAGCTGGGTGTGGTGGCACATGCGGGTAGTCCCAGCTGCTTGGGAAGCTGAGGCAGGACAATTGCATGCGCCTGGGAAGTAGAGATTGCAGTGAGCTGAGATCGCACCACTGCATTTCTGACTGGGTGAAAGAGCGAAACTTTGTCTCAAAAAAAAAAAAAAAAAACACAAGAAAACTCACTTATGTTACCATTTCTGGCATTGTTTATTCTTGTGTGTGGATCTGAGTTTCCAGCTGGTATTTCCCTCCACCTGAAGAACTGTATTCTTTGTCGCTGTGCATTCTGTAGTAAACCAACCCTTCAGATTTCATTTGTTTGAAAAATCTATTTAATTTGCCTGCATTTTTGAAGTTGAGTATTATGCATACACAATTCTAGCTTGACAAGGTTTTTTTTCTTTTTTTAAGCACATTAAATACTTTGTTCCTTCATCCTCTGGTTTGCAACTATCCCTCTTTTTTTTTTTTTTTTTTTTTTTTTTTTTTTTCTTGAGACGGAGTTTTGCTCTTGTTGCCCAGGCTGGAGTGCAAATTGCATGATCTCCACTCACTGTAACTCCGCCTCCCAGGTTCCAACAGTTTTCCTGCCTCAGCGTCCCGAGTAGCTGGGACTACAGGCACCCGCCAGCACACCTGGCTAATTTTTGTATTTTTAGTAGAGACAGATTGCACTATGTTGGCCAGAATGGTCTCGATCTCTTAACCTCATGATCTGCCCACCTCAGCCTCCCAAAGTGCTGGGATTACAGACTCAGATCGAGACTCTGTCTCAAAAAAAAGAAAAAAGATGGGATCTTGCCCTGTTGCCCAGGCTGGTCTTGAACCCCTGGGCTCAGATAGTCGTCCTGCCTCGGCATCCCAAAGTGCTGAGATTACAGGCATGAGCAACCGCACCCCGCCCTGGTTTCCATCGTTTCTAATAAGTCAGTCATTTTTATCATCTTTTTTTCCTCTGGCTGCTTTTTTAAATGTTCTTTTTAATCATTGTTTCTTGTTGTTTTTTTTTTTTTTGCAACTTGAATATAATGTGCCATGGTGTCGTTTATTTTCTTTGATGTGTTAGGGATCACTGATCTGTGAATTTATAGTTTTCATCAAATGGTGGAAAAGTTCTGGAAATTATTTTCTCTAAAAGTTTTTCCGCCCTTGCGCCCGAACTCATTTCTCTCTGCAACCCTCCACCCTGTTCCACCCTCAGGCTTTAATCTTGCCGCTGTTTGTACCATTTCCACTGCTAAATGTTCAAGATCATGGTCTTTGCATCTGTAGTATCCAATCTGCTGTTAAGCCCATGTCATGAATTTTTTATTCCAGATACTATATTGTTTTCTCAGCTCTAAAAGAACATTTAGGTTTTTGTGGGGGGTTGTTTGTTTGTTTTTGGGTAAATTATCTTTCTGTTAGATTCATGTTTTCCTTTAAGTCCTTCTTCACGTCTTGTAATTTTTTATTAGATCCTGGGTTTTATGATGTTAAATTGTTGAATGTCTGGAATTTATGTTTTCCCTCAAAGCATATTGGAGATTAACTGACAGTTGAGTTACAGCTTGATCTTTTTTTTTTTTTTTTTTTTTGAGACGGAGTTTCACTCGTGTTACCCAGGCTGGAGTGCAATGGCGTGATCTCGGCTCACCGCAACCTCCGCCTCCTGGGTTCAGGCAATTCTTCTGCCTCAGCCTCCTGAGTAGCTGGGATTACAGGCACGCGCCACCATGCCCAGCTAATTTTTTGTATTTTTAGTAGAGACGGGGTTTCACCATGTTGACCAGAATGGTCTCGATCTCTTGACCTCGTGATCCACCCGCCTCGGCCTCCCACAGTGCTGGGATTACAGGCTTGAGCCACCGCGCCCGGCGATCTTTTTTTTTTTTTTTTTTTTTTTTAATTGGCTCTGTCTCTGCCCATGTTCTCCTGCCACAGGAACATGCTTGCCTACATGCAGAATGCAGAAGCTTGGTCCTTTTGAGGCTTGTTTTGAAGCTTTATTAGAGTACATCTAAATAGCCTGCCCCGTAAGATTAATCTAGCGCTATTTTGAAGCTGTGGCCCTCCTGGGATCTCTGGTGACTGTCCTGTGAATGTAAGTTCTCTCCACTGTGGTTGGTGGGAACACAAACTTGGACCTGCCGTGGGTGAGCTCTGGGCTCCCTAGTAGATGTTCTTCCACCAGCCTTTAGCTTTTCACTCTGCCTAGCACGGCTTCATCTTCAGTCCAGGATTCAAGAGGACATCGTGTGCGTTTCTGGAGGCTTTTTCCCTACAGAGCTCACTCCTGTCTGTACATTCTAGCTCCCTCTGCCTCCCCAAACGACAGTCACCATCTCAACTCAGTGCGGCCACCAGTCTCTGCTTGGGTTCCCCCTCCTTGTGATCCAGAAAGTTACCCCAGGCAGAAGGCCAGGATGACTTTACCACCCACCTCGTTTGGTTCCTGTCTCTCAGGAATCACTGCTCTGTGTTGCTTGTTGCCCAATGTATAAAAACAATTGTTTCAGATATTCTGTCCCGTTTTCTAGTGGCTTGTGACAAAGGCAGGAGCCCAGCACCAGCTGTTCCGTCATTGGCTTGAAATAGAAGCGCTGCCTGTTTATTTCCCTTTTGTGTCTCAGTCTCGCCCATTGTAGAGCATAAGCCTCATAAGCGCAGGGGCGTTTGTGTTTGGCTTACTTCGTTTTCCCTCCCAATTTCTTTTTTTTTTTTTTTTTTTTTTTACAAACCCTTGTGTGGAGGGTTGACCTTCAATAGATCGCAGTGAGGGAGCTGCTCTGCTACGTACGAAACCCCGACCCAGAAGCAGGTCGTCTACGAATGGTTTAGCACCAGGTTCCCCACGAACGTGCGCTGCGTGACGGGCGAGGGGGCGGCCGCCTTTCTGGCCGCACCCCGTTTCCCAGGACGAGGGGCACTCCGCAGCGGACCCCGGTCCCGGCGCACAGCGGGACACGCCCTGCGCGGGACGGAGCGGCCCACCGGTGGGGACGGCGGGGGACCAGCTATCCGAGGCCAACCAAGGCGCCGCGGCGCTGCCATATCGTTCCGTCTGGGCGGGATTCTGACTTAGAGGCGTTCGGTCATAATCCCACAGATGGTAGCTTCGCCCCATTGGCTCCTCAGCCAAGCACATACACCAAATGTCTGAACCCCAATTTCTTTATTGTGGTAAAACATCCATCATAGAAAACGTACCGTGTTAGCCGTGTTGAGTGTACAGTAGGTGGTACTCAGCGCATTCACAGTGGCGCACGGCCATCACCACCATCCATCTCCAGGACGCTTCACCTTATAAAACTGAGACTCTGCACCCAGGAAGCAACGACTCCCTCTTTTCCCCTTCCCAGACCTTGACAACGGCCATTCTGCTTTCTATCTCTGTGAGTCTGTGACTGGCTTACTTCACTCAGCATCATGTCCTGAAGATTATTCATTCTGTAGCATGTGTATTTCCTTCCTGTTTAAGGCTGAATAATATGCCACTGTATGGATATCGTTTTGCTCAGTCTCATCTCACCAGCATCTGGAATAGTCCCTCTTGAGACAGGGTCTTGTTCTGTCACCCAGGCTAGAGTGCAGTGGCATGATCATGGCTCACTGCAGCCTTGACCTCCTGAGTTTAAATGACCCTCCCACCTCAGCTTCCCCAGTAGCTGGGACTGGACGTGTGCACCATTAAGTCTGGCTACTGTTTTTTGTTTGTTTCTTTCTTTGTCTTTTATTTTTTGAGACGGAATTCTGTTCTTGTCACCCAGGCTAGAGTGCAATGGCACAATCTCACTGCAGCCTCCACTTCCCAGGTTCAAACAATTCTCCTGCCTCAGCCTTCCAAGTAGCTGGGCTTACATGTGTGTGCCACCATGCCCACCTAATTTTTGTATTTTTAGTGAGACGGGGATTCACCACGTTGGCCAGGCTGGTCTCAAACTCCTTACTTCAGGTAATCCGCCCACCTCAGCCTCCCTAAGTGCTGTGATTACAGGAGTGAGCCACCACGTCTGGCCCATTTTTTAATTTTTTTTAAAAGACATGGTCTCTCTGTGGTGTCCAGGCTGGTCTCAAACTCCTGAGCTCAAGCGATCCTCCTTCCTGGGCCTCCCAAAGTCACCATGCCTAGTCAGTTCCTGAAAGATATTTGAATGAGCAGAAGGAACATAGAAAAGGAAGGCTGGCCAGCTGGGTGGAGGCTGACTACTGATAACACTGGAGAATATGTGAGGCACGTGTGCCAGATGCAGGGCCAACACCCTTCTGTTAAAAACAGCTCACACAGAGGTACCACTTGAAAACTAGTAGTTGCTTGAAAATACATACAGCATTTTCTATCTCATTACTTTTTTTTTTTTTTTTTTTGAGACGGAGCTTTGCTCTTGTCACCCAGGCTGGAGTGCAGTGGTACAATCTCGGCTCACTGCAACCTCAGCTCCTGGGTTCAAGCAGTTCTCCTGCCTCAGCCTCCCAAGTAGTTGGGATTACAGGCACCTCCCACCACCACGCCTGGCTAGTTTTTGTATTTTTAGTAGAAACGGAGTTTCACCATGTCGGCCAGGCTAGTCTCAAACTCCTGGCCTCAAGTGATCCGCCCGCCTCAGCCTCCCAAAGCGCTGGGATTACAGGTGTGAGCCACCGTGCCTGGCTATATCTCATTAATTTTAAAAATACACTAAAACAATGAGAGACAGTGTTATCTGTCAGGTTGGCAGAGACTCTTGTAGAATGCAGGTGGAGCCAGTCTGTGACGGCAGCAGGCATTCCCATGACTACTGATAGCTGTGTTTTGTACGAGTTTTCTGTAAGGCATTTAGAGCCTTTAAAATGACACATGCAGCCAGGCCCCGTGGCTCACGCCTATATTCTTAGCACTTTGGGAGGCCAAGTCAGGTGGACCACAGTTCAAGACCAGCCTGACCAATACGGTGAAGCCCGTCTCTACTAAAAATATGAAAATTGGGCGTAGTGGCATGCATCTGTAGTCCCAGCTACTCGGGAGGAGACAGGAGAATCGCTTGAACCCAGGAGGCAAAGGTTGCAATGAGCCAAGATAGCACCCTTGCACTGCAGCCTGGGGGACAGAGCAAGACTCCGTCTCAAAAAAAAAAAAAAAAAAAAAAAAAAAATAGGGTTTCTCAAACAGGTGAGCCTGTGAGATGCACATTATATTCCTCTCTGGGAGGCCCTAACACGTTAAGTTACTAAAGACAGCCCGGCTATGACAGTGGACCTGCTGCCAGACCAGCCCTCCTGCCACAGACAGAAGCAGATGAAGCCACTCTCCTCAGGCAGTGGACAGTGGGCAGCACACACCTGCAGGCTCTGAGGAGGAAGTTCCAGCGCCAGCCCCGTGATTGCCCCGCTCCTTACCTGGGACATTTCCCACGCAGAGCACAGTACTTCTAAGTGGAAGAGGCAGAGATCAGCATCTCTGACAGCTGCAGTGTGCAAGACAGGGCCCTGGAGAGAAGGGGAGCTGTGCAGAGCAGTGGACACCCCAATCGGGCCCAGCTGTGGGCAAGGCAGTGTGGGCCCCAGACTAGAATGCCCCTGCTTGCACTCTCATGCCACACGGACAGTCCCCATCCTGACCTCTGTGTAAAAGGAGTCGAAGTCTGTCACCCTATAACGAGTGTCCCTGGCTCTGCCCGTTGTGGGTTCACGGTCAAGTCCAGCCGCCGCCTCAGGAGCAGCGGCCCTGCTTTTGCCACCTTGGTGTGCGTGGCAGGCCCTGAGGTCGGGCAGCTCTGAACATGTGATTTCTGCACTCAGGGTGATTGAAGGTGAGGGTCAGACCAACAAGGTGTGAAGCTGGACTGGCTCCCCTTGTTCTGAGGTCCATGAGTGCTCCTGAAGCTCCGATCACGACACCTGCAAGCAGCCATGTGCTGCCTCCAGCTAGGCTGGGAGCTGGTGGTGACATCTCGTCCCAGCCCCAGAGCCGGGGACATTGCTCATGTTGGTGGCATGAAATCAGCCATGGCGGGGATATTTAGACCACAGAAGTTGGCAGACACTACTCATGAGGGCTTTTGTGTTTGTCGGGGAGCTGGTGGTTAGACTAGTTGGCTGGCACACCGGCCTGGAGCCTGGTGGCTCTTCTCCCCACACCCCTCCCACCCTGTCACCTCAGCCTTACCGGATGCATCCCGTTGGTTTTCCTGGTGCTGTCGGCGCTCACCAAGGTATTTGTTGTCCCAAAATTCACCCGCGTGCAGGAGCCGCATGCATCCATTGGACAGGGGTGGACGGCATGCCCGCCACGCATGGAGTGACATCAGAGTCACTTCGTAGTCTTGTCCTGACAGCACTTTTGAAATGCGAGAGAACTTTTCCTGTCAAAGGCATGTCCCCTCCAACTGGGCATGGCAGAGCCAAGATGGTAAAATGCAGTCCTCTCTGAGCCTGCCACTCAGATCTCTGACTCCCACCTGCTCGTGATCTGTATTCCTGGGCATGGTATTGGGCGAAGGCAGCAGCCGGGACTTCCTTGTGGAGAGAGCCACAGAGGTAATTTACAGAAGAGTCAAGAGCTGTAGGTAGAGCAGTCTCCGTCTGCTGTGTCCCGGTGACACCACGGAGTCCGGCCGTGGGAAGGATGGCTGCTCTGCTTCGACACGTGCCTGTGGATGAGCGTGGCAGGCAGGTGGCCAGTACTGCTTGGTCTTCCTCTGCTGACCTGAATGTGGGTTTGGCCCCGTCATGGTGACTGGCCCAGGGTTGGGTATGGATAGGTAACTTGCACTCGGGATGCTGCTGGAGGTGGCCGGGATGCACCAAGGGGCGATGGAAGGTCCCATGAGGTGCCGGCGAAGACCCACAGCTGCTCGCCCTCTTCTGAGTGGGAGGGAGGAGGGTGGCTAGTGGCCCCCCACCAGAGTCGGGGCTGTTTGGTTCTAAAGGCTTTTCTCCCGTGTGTGTCCCCAGATGAATGACAATCTTCTTGAGAGCTGGAGCGACCTCGACGAGCTGAAGGGAGCCAGGAGCCTGGAGACGGTGTACCTGGAGCGGAACCCCCTGCAGAAGGACCCCCAGTACCGGAGAAAGGTCATGCTCGCCCTCCCCTCTGTGCGGCAGATCGACGCCACGTTCGTCCGGTTCTGAGTCCTCCTTGCTCCTCACGGGGTCCCTGTCCTCGGAAGAACTGCCCAGCCACAGTTTTTTAACCCACCTGTTGTTCCTGAGGTCGTCACTGTATCAACAGTCACCAACCCGATGGCAATAAAGGCACTGACAGTAGCTAACGCGCGAGGCCACGCACGTTTTCAGATGCCATTGCAATTAAACCTTGCCACACGGTCCTCCTGGGTGAGTGCTGACAGTTATTGTAGCCACAGAGGGAATACTGGACACATCGAGTTCACTTGCTAGAAATTCCTTTGTTTCCTCCTCTCAGAAGGCGGGCACAGGCCGCACCTGATCCGTGTGAAACACAGGGCCTGAGGGTGCTTGACAGCATTCACCTGCAGTCCGGGGGGGCCCCAGTCCCGGTTAGCAGGGTTCAGGCAGGCCCGACTGCAACAGCTGAGGTTTTTAGTCTTTTAAATCAGACAAGGCCAATGTTTTAAATTATGTAAGTTAAAAAAGCATGGGTAAAGGCCGCCTCAGGCCTGTGCGCCGTGCTCCTTAGAGCTGCCCTTAACAAGGCCGGCGTGCCTCGCTCCTTGGAGCTGCCCTTAACAGGGCCGGCGTGCCACACTCCTTGGAGCTGCCCTTTAACGAGCGCCGGGCAGACCGACTGCTCTCACGTGCGCCCGTCAGTTCTCGCCGCAGCTCAGGTGGGTGTGCGTGAAAGCTCAGGTGTGGGGAAGGCGCCCCGTGTCTGCGCAGTCTGTGCTGCTGCCAGAATGCGAGCCCGGTAAGTCTCCACAGACGGCCTCCAAGGATCGGAACTCTGGGCCCTTTGTGCAGTGGCTTCCCGTTCTCACCCCATTGTTTTGGTTTTTTTAATATAAAATGTACATTGACAGACACCCGAGGTCTAGATTTAATGCTATCAGGGCTTCATCACCTCCCAGGGTCTCAGATTTCTTCTGCAGAATGAGGGCCACATCGTGTGGCCACCAAGGTCCCTTCTGCCTCTGGGACTCTGGAGCTGTGCTGTCCACTGTGGAAGCTAAATGAAGACCCCATGCCTCTGCCACGCTCGCCACGCTCGAGCTCAGCAGCCGCATCTCAATGGGGCAGCCTGCTCCCCCATCCCAGAAAGTTCTGCTGCACAGCCCCTCCCAATTCTGTGAGCCCTCCCGGGGACGAGTGTAGTGGGGATGTGCCCAGAGGTCCCCAGGCTGACTGTCCGTCCAGCTGCCAGGGAGGCTCCAGGCAGCATGGTGGCTAACCTGAGGCGTAAGGTCCTGTTCCCTTCCTGATCCAGCCTTCCTTAAAATACACGGTAAGACCTGAATCTAGGAAGCAGTTACCTGTTGAGAAGCAGAGACACCTCAGGAGTGCTGGGGCTGGGGTGTGGCCCCAGATCCTGGCCCTAGAACTCTGCCCCCAGCCAAAGAAGGATTTTAGGCACATGAGTATTTGGGATGTGAGTGCCCTTGCTGAGAAATCATTCAGAGGAGCCCTCCACCAAACAAAACATGAATCCAAAGAAAGAACTGAGGAAAGGGAAAGACAATTTCAGAGCAGCCAGCGGCGAGCACTCAGACCAACAAAACTTTAACTCAAAACAGTGTGTTTGGTCTGGGCATAGTGGCTCACGTCTGTAATCCCAACATTTTAGGAGGCCGAAGAGGGATGATCACTTGAGCCCAGGAGTTTGAGACCAGCCTGGGCAACAAGGTCTCTACAAAATAAAATAAAAATTAGCTGGGCAGGGGATCCCACACCTGTAGTCCCAGCTACTGGGAGGCTGAGGTGGGAGGACCCAGTGGAGCCCCATTGTTCAAGGCTATGTGAACAACACTGATGGTGTCACGGCACCCCGGCCTGGTGACACAGTGAGACCCAGTCTCAAAAAAAAAAAAAGTTTTTAATGTGGTTGTGAAGCTTTTTGGAAATGCCAAGGCAGAATTCTTAATGAGATACAGAATGTGCCCCCACAGAGCAATTGATGATCTGAAGCCTAAGATTCTTTTTCTGGAGGTCAGAGAAGAGCAAGTAGAAGGAGATGGGGCGAGATCCTGTCTTTGTGCAGAAGGGAGCCACTGCTTATCAATAAAGCTTATGGGAAACGTAAGGTTAAAGTAACATTAATAGAACAGGAATAAGTTGTGAAACATCCCAACTCACAAGTAGGAGAAAAACCAGAAACCTTACCTTCAAGCAGCGAGGACACAGGAGGAAGCAGCAGATGTCCCATCAACAGGGAGGCTTCAGTCCTCCCAGGGGTGTGCAGGACAATCCCTTGGGTGGAGGCTGAGACGTCTTCAAACCCCAGCCTGGGCAACACAGCGAGACTGCATCTCTAAAAAAATTAAAAATTAAGCCCGGGTGCGGTGGCTCATGCCTATGATCCCAGCACCTTGGGAGGCCAAGGCGGGCAGATCATTTGAGGTTGGGAGTTCAAGACCAGCCTGACCAACATGGAGAAACCCCGTTTCTACTAAAAATGCAAAATTAGCAGGGCATGGTGGCGCATGCCTGTAATCCCAGCTGCTCGGGAGGCTGAGGCAGGAGAATCTCCTGAACCCGGGAGGCGGAGGTTGCAGTGAGGCGAGATCGTGCCCCTGCACTGCAGCCTGGGCGACAAGAGCAAAACTTCGTCCCAAAAAACACAACTCCCCAGCACAACTGTGAGACAAGATTTTGATGGGTTTGTTTACATAAAATTTTACGTAGATAAAAATGATAATGGCAACAGTAGATGAAAGAAGGCGTCTGCAGCCTTTAAAGCCGGCGGGGGCATACTGTTCAGCACTCCACACATCAAAGAAAGGAGACAGGAATCCTGATGGAAACACAGGCCAGGGCCCAGCGTGGGCAGCTCACGGAAGCTGGGGTGCTCGCTGCTCCCTGCAGACGGGAAGGTTGGAAAGCCGGCAGCACAGCCAACCGAGAGTCCGTCCCCTGCGACCCAGCCACTGTGTCCAGCAGGGCTCCCGGGTGGCCAGGGCACAGTGCCAGAGTCCTCACAGAGGGTGCCCTGCACGCGCCCCCAGCCTCAGGAGCAGCACTGAACTGGAGTGTCGGCTGTTGACCACCACCACTTCCACTTCCACCAGCTACACCCCTAAGTATGTCCCTAAATGTTACAAAAGTTGGCACAAAAAGTTACAGCCAAAGAAAGCTGGTGCAGCGGGTTCTGGGCCTGGGCTCTTCCCAGTGTGCCAGGACCCAGCAGGACCACGTGCTGATTGTCCTGGCTTTCCTGCCTCCCTCCCTTCCTCCTCCCCCAAAAGCAGCACAGCTTGAAAAACCACCCGCCCAAACGCAATTGTGTAAAGTACAACTCGAAAGACCCTCCCCAGGCCCGGACCCCCTTTAGGTGAGCGTGCATGTGTCCCTCAGAGGGCCCCCATCGTGGTGTGGGCACCCCCAGCAGCCAGCCCTGAGGCCACCAGAGCCACTTTGTCACCAAGAGCAGGAAGCCGGGAGCTCCTGGGAGGTGGCGTCTTCCTGGGAGGGTCCTTGGCCAGTGACTGAGCCGAGGAAGAGCCTACAGCTGCACCCAGGTGAGGAAGCGCCGAGCCGTGCCTCCCCGGCGGAGTGCCGTGGCAGGACCTGGGAAGATGGCGCCCGCTTGTCCTCCCTCCCCTCCCGCCTCCCCACTGCTTTCCTGGGTTCTGGAACACTTCCCCAGCCCAGGCCGTGTCCGGGCTCCATCTCAGGGGCCTGCAGGCCGAGCTTGGCCACAGCAGAGACGTCTCAGGCAGATGCCTTCAGACTCTGCTGGTCTTGACCCGGAACCCGGCCTGCAGGACTCCCCGCTATGGCAAGGCACAGCACAGGTTCCAGAACAGCCTGGAGGGATTTATTTCTTTTTTATTTATTTATTTATTTTGAGAAGGAGTTTTGCTCTTGTTGCCCAGGCTGGAGTGCAGTGGTGTGATCTCGGCTCACCACAACCTCCGTCTCCCAAGTTCGAGCGATTCTCCTGCCTCAGCTTCCTGAGTGCTTGGGATCACAGGCATGCGCCACCATGCCCAGCTAATTTTTTATTTTTAGTAGAGACAGTGTTTTTCCATGTTGGTCAGGCCGGTCGTGAACTCCCAACCTCAGGTGGTCCGCACGCCTCGGCCTCCCAAAGTGCTGGGACTGCAGGCGTGAGCCACCGTGCCCGGCCTGCCTGGAAGGATTTCAGTAGGCAGAAGGGGGCACCTGGAACAGCAAGCTGAGCTTGGGGCTCACCAGTGGAGCGGTGCTGGGAGGCAGCCAGCAAGGCGATAGGCTCCAGGAGATGCCTCCTGCTGGGCGCCAAGGAGGAGGGGGGAGGGGCAGAGGGCTAGGAGAAAAAGGAGGGGAAAGGAGGGGAAGAAAGGATCGGAGGAGGAGGAGCGGGAGGAGGGGCAGGCGGACGAGGGGAGGAGGAGAACGAGGAGGAGGGCACAGAGGATGGGAGAAGGCTAGGGCCCTCCTGTCCTTTTGCAGATGGGGCCCTCCTGTCCTTTTGCAGATGGGGCCCTGAGCATGGGACGTGTCTGAGGTTACCCCTCAGGCATTAGCAGAGCCAGCACTGTGACCTGGGTCTCCCGATCTTCCCAGCTCCCCGGTGAAACCCTGGCCCACCTCTCAGCGCAAGCTATGTAACCTCAGGGAGCCTCAGTTTCCCTCCATGTTAAGAGCGCTTGCTCGGCCTGCCTGGCTGGGCTTCCAGCAGAAGTGGCACCTGTGGCTGTTCCTGCAGACTCCCACCTCCACCTGACCCTCCAAGGCAGCAGCTCTGACAGCTACAGCCAATGCCAGCCCTGACATCTCTAAGCAAATCAGGCCCCCGGAGGACGGCAGCATTTGCGTTCGGGTGTGTGAAGGCCCGGGGAAGTGGGCTGCCTCTGTTTGCAGCTCTGAGCCCCACACCCCGTCTTCAAACAAAGAGAGATCCTGCTCCAAAGCCGGAAGGACTTGCCCTGGCCAGCTGTGCTGGGTGCCTCCCCTGCCTGCTTTCCGCCCCGTGCAGGCAAGGTGAGGGCAGGCGGTGGCTGCCATTGCCTGGGCGGAGCTCCAAGGACCGCCCCTCCCCACCCTCTGCCGAGGGATGGCCCAACTCTACTGCCCAGACCGGGCTTATGCTGGGAGGTGGGCCATGATCTCCGAGGCCTCTTCTGGAAGCCACTGTGCCAGGTGGGGACCCACCCTAGACGTGTGGGCCACAGGGAGGGGGGGAGCACTGCAGGGTGGCATCCCAGCACACCGGGGCCTTCACACACCCTGGCCAGGGGGGAGGCAGTGCCAGGCCCGCCCTGGTCCCCAGAGCCCCTTGGGGCACGAGGAGGGACGCACACTCAGTGCGGCTCTGGACAGGGCACCCCAGGTTGGCTTCCTGTCTGCCAGGGACTCCCCCATGGAGCAGGTCCTTCCTTGGGGTTGGGGCATCCCCCTTTCCTTCTGCAGAGAGCTCTGAGGTGGGGCCTGGCCTGCCCACCACAGTGGGATGGGGGAGCCGGGGGCTGCTGGGTGGCCGAAATTCCTGGGGGACTTTCCTCCAGGGGCACCCCGCAGTCTGTAGTGAGGCTCCCAGCCCAGGGCCTGGCTCGGGCTTCAGGGGCAGGCAGGCGCAGGGCAGCCTGGGCTCCGACTCTCTGGGCCTCTGCTAATCCGAAGTGGAGGGCGGGACTAGAAAGCCCCCCATCCCAAACTCCTGCGGTGCCCCCGTGGTCACAGCCTGGTCATCAGTGCCTTGAGGAACGCCCAGCCCCAGCTCGAACCCCTCCTTCCAGGACCACAGATGTCACACTCTTGGCCCTGTTTTGTCAGCCCGAGACTGGGAGCCACGGCACCTGCCCTCCCACAGAGGGAGACCCCGGAGTGAAGGTGTGGGAGGAAGCTGGGACCCCCCAGGAGGAACCGAGCTCAGGGCCTGGGGGTCGTGGCATTGGGCAAAGGCAGGCGACTCGAGGGCTTGCCTGTCCCCGGCTGACGTGGCTCAGCCCTACAGATAAGAGAGGTGGGGGCTTCTGGCCTTCTGGGGCTCCACTGAGTACCCAGGCAGAACAGGCGACATTCAGGGCGGGGGGACTTGGGCACTAACTGGATGGACAGATGGACAGACACCTGCTGTGCCAGGCCTGCCAGACCCTCCGTCCCCGGCACTGGTTTCTTCCTGGGGCTAGTGGCTGGCTAGGGTGCTCTCCACGCGCTTATGGCCAAGAGAGTCGGCCAGGCCAGCCATAGCCGCATTCTGCTCCAGGTCAGGTCTGTAAAGCCGCTCACTGCAGCCTGTGCAGGGCTTTGGGATGGCCTCAGGCATCCCCTCTCTGACTCCGTCCCCACCCGGCCTTGGCGGGCACAGGAGCGGGATGCTGCGGCGGCGGGTCCAGGAAGACGACAGCACTGTCCTGATCGATGTGACCCCCCCAGAGGCAGAGAAGAGGGGCCCTTATGGGAGCACAGCCCACGCCTCAAAGGTAACACAGCACCCAGGAGACCATGGCTCAACTCGGGAGGCCCTCCCCTGCCTGGGTCTGTGCCCCCACCCTGGGCCCAGAGCCTTTTGGGGGTGGATGGGCATCACCGTGTTTCCCTGGCACCCCCTGGCAGCCCCAAAGCCCTCACCACCCTGTCCTCAACACACAATCAGATCACCGCCCACCCTGGCACGGCCAGGATGCAGAGAAATGAGCAGATCCCACTGATGTTCAGACAGGAGCCCCGGGAGGGTGAGGGGGGCCTGGCCAGGCAAAGGCAAGACCAGGGCGGGGGACCTCCCTGCAGGGCCAGTCAGTGCAGGGCCACAGCGGCACCCAGGTCCATCTGTCACCGGGAGGCCACTGTGGGGAGAAGCTGGGTCCCAGGTCTTAAGGCCACGCAGGAGGTTCTGACCATGTAGGGCCCTCTTCCTGGTCCTCCTAGGCCCCATGTCTGATGTCCGCCCCAGCAGCCCACAGGTGGACGTGGGGTCCCTTCCTGCCGCCCCAAGCACAGCTGAGATGAGCCTCCAGGGAGGGCACAGGGCCTCTCACCAGGACACTCAGTCGCCACGGCCACCTCTGTCCTCAGACCACTTTGGGAGCAGTCCAGCTCCCCTCTGTCCCTGGAGGCCAACAGGGCCAGCACCCCTGGTCCATGCTTCCCGCCAACCTGACCCTTGCCATGGGCCTGGCCCAAAGAGAAGGGGAGCCGACTGGAGGCCCAGGGCTGGCGGTGCCCTCTGGCCCTGCCTACCACCCCCGTGCCTGCGTGTCCTGTGCCCACACATCCTGACCCCCACCCCCAAACATTCTTCTGTGGTCCTGAGTGTCCTGGGGCAGGGCGGGGACAGGGGTTGGAGGCAGGGTGGGGCGGGATGGGTGTTGTCATCCTGGGCAGATGCTGATATGCTCCGTGCCTTCCAGCCAGGTAGACAGCAGGCGGCTGGAGCTGGGAGCCCTGCCAAGCAGATCGGTGAGCCCCTCCCAGCATCTGTACCACGCCTGTGTTGGTCCTGAGGGTGGGGACAGCACGGGGGTGCCCGAGGGGGCAGCAGGCCAGGGTGGCCTCCTCAGTAGCCAGGTGCTTGGGGGCCAATTGCACTGGGGTGAGGGCCTGGGGTGAGCGAGCCACAGTGGGAGGAACAGCAGGAAGGGGGGCTCCCTTCTGATGGGGTGGGCCGGGAGGGCTCTGGAGAGCGGACTGGGCGGCCCCTCCCTCCTCCTCCCGTGCCCTCCACAGCTCAGGTCGGTTCTGGCTCTTATCTCTTGCACCCCACCCCTTTTGTGCCTTCAAAATCTCTTTGATCTGCCCCCAACCCACTGCCTCTGCCTGCCTGGAGCTCCCACCAACTCCCCGAGGATGGCACAGGCACCAGCTGGGCTCCCAGCACCCACCCTGCCAGCTTGCTGCCCCCTCAGCACCAGCGAGACCGTAACCTCCTACTGCTAGGATGGCCACTACTTAAAATCACAAGTGATGAGGATGAGCAGGAACTGACTTGTGCGTTGCTGGAGGGAGTGTAAATGGTGCAGCTGCTGTGGAAAACAGGGCTCCCCGAGGATTCGGTGCACAGCTCCCATGAGAGCCAGCACGGCCACCGCGGATGAGCGCTCCCGAGCGCTGGATTCGGGCCCCGGGTGGGGGCTCCCGAGCGCTGGATACAGACCCCAGGGAGATCTCAGGACCCCTGCAGTGTCATCCACTGTAGCTGGAAGGGGTGCACTCCTTTCTGGGACTGTCATAAGAAGTACTACAGCCCGTGGGGCTTAGATGGCAGAACTTTCTTTTCTCCCAGTATGGGGCTGAAGTCCGAGGTGAAGGTGAGGCAGGGATGGTGCTGGCAGGGGCCTCTCTCTGGCTTGCAGACAGGCCTTCTCCCTGTGCGCTCACACCCTGGGGCTCTTCCTCCTCTAGGGAGGCTGGTTGTGGTGGATGAGGGCCCACCCTAATGGCCATCAGGTCTCCTTGATGACTTAATCTCCAAATACAGTTACATTCTGAGGACTTCGGGTTGGGGCTTTGATATTCAAATTGTGCGGAAACATAGTTCAGCCCATATCAAGGTGGAAGGTCCACCTACAGATGACTAGATCAGCAAGATGTGGTATTTACATCCAGCGGATTTATTCAGCCTGAAAAAGGCGGAAATTCTGACACAGGCTGCGCCGGGGAGGAGCCTTGAGGATGCTATGCTACGTGAAGTCAGCCAGTCACAAAAGGACAAACGTGACTGCGCTTGTTTGAGGCCCAGAGAGTGGAATTCAGAGAGGGAGGGGAGACAGGTGGGCACCAGGGGCTGGGGCGGGGAGGTGGAGCTGGTGCGTAGGGGCTGTAGAGGTTCCGTCTTGTAAGATCAGAAGAGCCCTGGGGATGGATGGTGGTGATGGCCGCGCAGAATGAGAATGTCCTAACGCCAGTGACCTGGACACTACTTAAAAGTGGTTAAGATGGTTTTTTGTTTGGTTTTTTTCTTTTTCTTTTTTTTGAGATAGAGTCTCACTCTGTCACCCAGGATGAAATGCAGTGACTTGATCTCAGCTCACTGCAACCTCTGCCTCGTGGGTTCAAGAGATTCTCCTGTCTCAGCCTCCTGAGTAGCTAGGAGTACAGGTGCATGCCCACGCCCAGCTAATGTTTGTATTTTTTTTTTTTTAATTTATTTTTTTGAGACGGAGTTTCGCTCTTGTTACCCAGGCTGGAGTGCAATGGCGCGATCTCGGCTCACCGCAACCTCCGCCTCCTGGGTTCAGGCAATTCTCCTGCCTCAGCCTCCCGAGTAGCTGGGATTACAGGCACGCACCACCATGCCCAGCTAATTTTTTTGTATTTTTAGTAGAGACGGGGTTTTACCGTGTTGACCAGGATGGTCTCGATCTCTTGACCTCGTGATCCACCCGCCTCGGCCTCCCAAAGTGCTGGGATTACAGGCTTGAGCCACCGCGCCCGGCCTCTAATGTTTGTATTTTTTAGTTGAGATGGGGTTTCGCCATGTTGGTCAGGCTGGTCTCGAACTCCCGACCTCAGGTACCTGTCTCAGCCTCCCAAAGTGCTGGGATTACAAGTGTGAGCCACCATGCCTGGCCCAAGATGGTTTTTTAAAACGTGACAGTGCTCATTTTCTCAGAATCCTCCACACGCATCCTGTGTGTGTGTGAGGCTTAAGGCACCCTCACACCCCCACTCCCAGCCCCACCACGCCCTGAGACACATCGCCTGCCAGCAGAAGCTCCCCACCCTTCATTCCAAGACTGGCATCTCCCAAGGTAACAATCATTTTAGACTCTCGTATAAAGGTAGAATATATTCTATCCTCTGAGAAAACTGTGCCTTTTATCAATATTAATTGTGCCTAGAAAATTGTCTCCCATAATCTTGCTTTGCATCTGAAAATCTATTTGACCTGGTATTTTTAAAGTTTTGTCAGGTTTGCCTGTTCTGTTTTGTTTCAAAGGGATTAGGTTTGCCCGATGTGTTATTTTCCATATTTAGAAATTGAGCCTTTCAATCCATGAATATGGTATTTTCCTCCATTTATTTAGATCTCCTTTAATTCCTTCCCTCCCTCCCTCCCTCCTTTCTTTTTCTTTCTTTTCTTTTTCTTTTCTTCTTTTCTTTTCTTTTCTTTCGACAGAGTTTGGCTTATGTCGCCCAGGCTGGAGTGCAATGGTGCAATCTAGCTCACTGCAAACTCTGCCTCCTGGGTTCAAGAGATGCTTCTGCCTCAGCCTCCTGAGTAGCTGGGAGTGCAGGCATGTGCCACCACTCCCGGCTAATTTTGTATTTTTAGTAGAGATGGGGTTTCGCTGTGTTGGTCAGGCTGGTCTTGAACTCCTGACCTCAGTCTGGGAGTACAGGCATGAGCCACCATGGCAGGCCTTTAATTTCTGTTTTTGCTGCTTTTTTTTTTTTTTTTTTTGAGACGGAGTTTTGCTCTCGTTACCCAGGCTGGAGTGCAATGGCGCGATCTCGGCTCACCGCAACCTCCGCCTCCTGGGTTCAGGCAATTCTCTTGCCTCAGCCTCCTGAGTAGCTGGGATTACAGGCACGCACCACCATACCCAGCTAATTTTTTTGTATTTTTAGTAGAGACGGGGTTTCACTATGTTGACCAGGATGGTCTCGATCTCTTGACCTCGTGATCCACCCGCCTCGGCCTCCCAAAGTGCTGGGATTACAGGTGTGAGCCACCGCGCCCGGCTGTTTTTGCTGCTTTCATGAGATCTTTCCCATCTTTTAGCAGATGTATTCCAAATGGCATTACTTTGAAAATGTCACTGCCTATTTGTCATAGGTACATAGAAATTATGTGTTTTTTTTTTAAGATGGGGTTTCACTGTGTTAGCCAGGACGGTTTCAATCTGTTGACCTTATGATCCACCCGCCTTGGCCTCCCAAAGTGCTAGGATTACAGGCATGAGCCATCACACCCAGCCAGAAATTATTTCTTTTTTGGGTGGGAAGATGGAGTCTTACTCTGTCACCAAGGCTGGAGTGCAGTGGCATGATCTTGGCTCATTGCAACCTCCACCTCCTGGGTTCAAGTGATTCTCCTGTCTCATCCTCCCCAGTAGCTGGGATTACAGGCATCTGCCACCACACCCAGCTAATTTTTGTATTTTTAGTAGAAACAGGGTTTTGCCACGTTGGCCAGGCTGGTCTTGAACTACCGACCTCAGGTGATCTGCCCGCCTCGGCCTCCCAGAGTTCTGGGATTACAGCGTGAGCCACCAAGCCCAGCCGCAGTAAGATATTTTAGAAGAGAGAGACAAGAGTGCCCACATTCTCATAACTTTTACTACAGTATATTGTTATATTCTATTTTGTTATTATTGTTCATCTCTTACTGTACCTAATTCATAAATTAACCTTCACCACAGGAGTGTGTATCACGGGTGTGCACCTGTCGTAGGCATGTATAGGGAAAGGCAGGATGTCCAGGTTTGCTGCTCTCCAGTTTCAGGCATCCACTGGGCTGTGCAGATAAGGGGGGGCTCGGTCATCCTTACTCCTCAGCATGGGCTGCAAGTCTGCACTGCAGGACCAGGGTGTCCAGCTGGAGCTCAGATTCCCCAGCAGGTGTATCCTCTAGAACCCTCATCAACCACCGGCTTCCAGCAGCTGCCTGTGTGTGAATCGTTGGTTGCTCCAAGGCCTGGGGGATTGTCTCACAGACCTGGGGGCTCCGTCTTCTTCCCAAGCTCCCCTCTTAGCAGAACCTAATTCAGATGCCCACTGGCTTCACCCACCAGTGCCTCTGCTTGGCTCTGTTGCCCTCCCCTGTGGTTTGGGAAATGCCCCCAGGAAAGCCAGAGTGAAGGCAGGGCTCACCTGGCACGGGGCTCACCCCGCACGCTCTGCTCGCGGAAGTCTGTGCCCAGCAGCCATTGTGACCTCATGCCGGAAAAGCGGGGGCTTCGGAAATTGTCTCCAGCTTTGACGATTCTCTAGCAGCAAGGGAAGTCTGAAAGTGACTTAACCTGAAGTCCTCCAAGACCCCCTTTAGGAGTCTGGGACTTACCTGCAGGGAGGAGAGGCCATAGCAGGGATCTTAGCGGGCCACGCCCCAGCGCCTCTGCCGGCCTCGGTTCCCCACCCAGGCCAGTGCAGGGCTGTCCCAGAACCTGGAAGCGCTCCCTGAGTCCGCCCAGCCCTGGCTGGGACCAGGGAGGGGAGCGTCCAGTGCCCGGCTCCCCCTCGCGCCCCGCTGGGATGCTGGCAGCCCTTCCCCAGGCCGACAGCTGCCACTCAGCCATGCTCCTGCCTCTGTCCCTGTTGGCTCCCAGCAGACTTCGTCCTTGTTTGGGAGGAAGACCTGAAGCCAGATGGGCGGCAGGACAGTGCCGCCCGGGACAGGACAGACATGCACAGGACCTGGCGGGAGACCTTTCTGGATCACCTCCATGCAGCTGGGCTGCGCATAGACCAGGTATGTGGAGGCAGTCATGTGACTCATGACCTTGCCACTCTGAGGGCATCGGGCCCCAAAGTCCTGCTGGACACCCCACCTACTGTGAGCTCCCTGTGGCTGGGGAGCTGCTGCCCATGGGCGGGGGTAAACACTGATCCCTCCTGGTACACAGCTCATGCATAGAAGTCGGAGCCCTCAGGGGCTCTGACCCTACCTTTGCCATTCACCTGTCCCACCTCCAACATCAAAGCCTTTGTAGACGTGTCATTTGTGATTAGGACACTCAGTGTGCTTACAGAATTAGCAGCTTAAAAAGTCCTTTCGGCCGGGCGCGGTGGCTCACACCTGTAATCCTAGCACTTTGGGAGGCTGAGGCAGGCGGGTCACAAGGTCAGGGGTTCGAGACCAGCTGGCCAATATGATGAAACCCCCTCTCTACTAAAAATACAAAAAAATTTAGCTGGACGTGGTGGCGCACGCCTGCAATCCCAGCTACTCAGGAGGCTGAGGCAGGAGAATCGCTTAAGCTTGGGAGGAGAAGGTTGCAGTGAGCCGAGATGGCACCACTGAACTCCAGCTCAGCCTGGGCGACAGAGCGAGACCCCGTCTCAAAAAAAAAGTCCATTTACATGTTTGATTTCAGTAATAATGGAAGGTACCATTTAGAGTCATTTAAGCAACAGGTCCAGGGAGCGTGAGAAACAGGAACCAGCCGTGAGGATGCTGGGTGTGCGGGCGCAGGCAGGGCTTGGGGCAGCTGGGGATTGGGGCACAGAGCTCACCTCTCACCCACGGCATCCCTGCCCCTCGTTGCCAGGTCTGTCCACGCGGCTCGCTCCTTGTCCACCCTCTTCTGACCACCTTTCTCCGCTCCCCAGGAGCAGGCTGCGCTATCACCTGTCGTCTCCCTGTCCAGAGTGATCAATCCTGAGTTTTATTTCTTTACCATTTTAGCACCAATTTCACATCACCAGGCAATACAGCCTGGCTTTGTCTGTTGGAGCTTGGCAGAGCAGAATCGTGCATGGGGTCATTCCTGTGGCGAGGCCGGCCCGTGCGGTCACTCCATCGGAGACCGCTGCTCCAGGCCCGCCTTCGCCTTGCCGCAGGCAGCTCCGCGTGTGAATGTGCCCGCCTTTGCTTATGGATGCCTGTGAGAATGGGCATTTGACCGGTTCCCAGTCTGGGGTGATTATGAAAATCAGCTACTGTAAATTGATTCGTGTGTGTGTGCACGTGTGTGTGTCCCTGTGCCCATGTGCAGGAACTTCTCCTGGGAGCCGGGGCTCCAGGCAGAGGCACGTGCCTGTGGCCACACCGCTCCCCCACGTGGTGGCCGTTGCCACTGTCGGCCATGGGCTGAGGCCCCTTGCTCTGTGTCTCCTCAACACTCGGTACTGCAGACTTATCGTTTTACCAATCAGTTGGGACGCAGTGGTGGCTCACCACAGGGTGTGTGTGTGTGTGTGTGTGTGTGTGTGTGTGTGTTTGAAATGGAGTCTCACTCTGTTGCCCAGGCTGGAGTGCACTGGCAAGATCTCAGCTCACTGCAATCTCCACCTCCCGGGTTCAAGAGATTCTTTGGCCTCAGCTTCCTGAGTAGCTGGGATTACAGGCGCGCGCCACCATGCCCAGCTGCTTTTTGTATTTTTAGTAGACGGAATTTTGCCATGTTGGCCAGGCTGACCTCAGGTGATCCACCCGCCCCAGCCTCTCAAAGTGCTGGGGTTACAGGTGTGTGCCACCGCCCCTGGCCTCACCCTGGTGTTAATTTGCATTTTCCCTGCTTTTTAAAGAGGTTGAGATTTTTTTTTTTAACTTTCACTTCAGGTTCAGGGGCACATGTGCGGGGTTATTACATAGGTGAACTCACGTCCCAGGGGTCTGTTGTACACATTGTTTCATCACCCGGGTACTTACTACGCAACAGCTATTTTTTCTATTCCTCTCCCTCCTCCTGCTCTCCACCCTCAAGTGAACCTCAGCATCTGTTGTTCCCTTGTGTCCACGGCTTATCATTTAGCTCCCACTTATAGGAGAAAACATACAGTATTTGATTCTCTGTTCCTGAAAAGTTTGCAAAGGATAACGGCCTCCAGCTCCATCCACCTTCCTGCAAAGGACATGCTCTTGTTCTTGTTGATGGCTGCGTAGTATTCCACGATGCACGTGTACCACCACTTCTTTATCCCGTCCCCTACTGATGGCATTGAGATTGATTCCTTGTCTTTGCTATTGTGACAGAGCTGCAGGCTGAGCACTGTTCACACTCATGGTCCATATCTGTTTCCAATACTGTGATTTGCCTTTTTGTGTCTTTTGTCCTTTTTCTATTGGGTCACTTGCCTTTTTCTTTTTTTTCTTGAGACAGAGTCTTGTTCTGTGGCCCTGGCTGGAGTACAGTGGTGCAATCATGGCTCACTGCAGCCTCAATTTCCCGAGGGTCAAGCCGTCTTCCCAACTCAGCCTCCTGAGTAGCTGGGACTACAGGCCCACACCACCACGTGGGCCCAGCTAATTTTTTTTAGTTCTGTAGAGATGAGGTGTCACTTCCTTGCCCTGGCTGGTCTGGAACTCGTGGGCTCAAGCAATCTGACTGCCTTGGCCTCCCAAGTCACCTGCATTATTTTTTTGAGACAGGGTCTGACTCTGTCACCCAGGCTGGAGTGCAGTGGTACAGTCTTGACTCACTACCTCCACCTCCCGGGTTCAAGCAATTCTCCTGCCTCAGCCTCCTGAGTAGCTGGGATCACAGGTGTGCACCACCACCCCCGGCTAATTTTTGTATTTTTAGTAGAGATGAGGTTACCCCATGTTGGCCAGGCTGGCCTCAAACTCCTGACCTCAAGAGATCTGCCAGCCTCAGCCTCCCAAAGTGCTGGGATCACAAGCATGAGCCACCACACCCGGCCCCACCTGCCTTTTCCTTATGAAGGCTTAGGAGCTTGGTGCCTGTTCTTGCCATTAGCCATTTCTGGGTCGTGTGTGACAGACATCTGTCCCCTGCCCTGGCTGGCTGGCGTGGTCATCGTGGGGTCCTGGTTGGTTCTAACCTGCCGTGGACTGTCAGCCCTGCGTCCGACTCCCTCACTTTCCGTGCCTTTCTTCCCCTCGCTCACCAGAACACACAGGGAGCAGCCCCCACCTGCCACCCATCCTCCCCGCCTCAGGCTGCCACCCCCTATCCCTGGCTCCCTTCCAGGGCCTTCTCAGGTGTTGGCACATGGAACCCACAGAGCTACCAGCCCCCTACTCCTGAGTTCGGACCGGCCTCAGTCTGGGAGGCAGAGATAAAGACACCTGCCTTTACGGTGGAAAGGCTGATGGGATGGTGTGGTCCCATGAGTTTGCGAGGTCATCATCCAGACTTGGGCAGGGCTGCTCTTCAGTTGAGGGCGGGGGGGGTCTACCGCAGGGGATGCCGGTGGCCCCAGCACATTTCCCACAGTGCGCCCGGCCTTCAGTCCTCAGGATGCCTCTCAGCTCCCCATGCACATTGCAGCCAGCCGGGCGCAGGTCTGCCCTCCACTCTTCCACCTCGCCCAAGGTGGGGCTGGGGCTTTGGCATTTGGGGAACCCCAGATGGCTGTGAGGAACATGAGGGCTGAGGACCCCCGGACTAAGGGCGGGGGCTGAAAAGCAGTTACACATTCAGAGGAGGCGCTTGTCTATTAGACGGAGGATCACGGTCTGAGGCCACCCCGGGCTCCAGGAGCACCTGTCACATGTTGGCACACGTGCACATGTGCACAGACAGCAGTCCATGCATATGTATACACACACACACACACACACACACACACTGAAATGTGTTCGTGCACAACATGCATGTATACCTGGTAACTGATCAAAGGTGAGGTGACCTTTCAATATTGAAAACCAAAAGCTGGCGGCGCTGCCCCTCAAGCCAGGAGGTGGGCATGGGTCAGCGTGGTCTGGCCAGCTGGGGGAGGCTGCAGGTGACGCGTGCCCCAACAGCGTGCTGTGTCTGCCGCGAATCTTGCTGGGGCCCCCTCCCACACGGGGGCTGTTGGGCCTGGCTGGCTTTCAGAGGCAGTGCCACGGGAGCAGTGTCATGGCTCAAATGGGAGATTCAAAGCCGGTGGTTACCAGGGCTACAGAAATGCCAGTCTTTTCCTGAGAGTTCGAATGGACACACGCGTGCACACACATCCCACGCATGCACCCTCAGGCTCTCACGGGGCCCTGGGTGCCTGCAGCTTGACGTCCAGGATGGGGACAGCACAGTGCACTACGCCCTCCTCAGCGCCTCCTGGGCTGTGTTATGCTACTATGCCGAAGACCTGCGCCTGAAGCTCCCCTTGCAGGTACGTGGGACGGGTCAGGCGTGGGGCCCCCACCAGGGTTATTTGCTGCCCCAACACCGAGGTCAGCTGCGACCCCGACAGCTCTGGGAGGGCTCCTCCTACCCACCCCGACACGAGGCCCCAAGAAACATCGCTGGGCAAACAGGGCAGGTGGTGAGAGCCCCCCAGGTGGGCTCCTGGGAGGTGGAGCCAGGTGAACAGTGTGTATACACTGAGCTGACCGCTCTGAGCCCAGGGCTCTGCTGAGGACCTGGGGTAGAGAAGACTGGCTCCCAGTGACCTCAGCAACATGTGCCTGGACAAGGTCCGCCCCCCACTGCACGTGCTGGCCTTGACCCTCATGGCACGCGGGTGGCAGAGACACCCTATTCACTGTTCCTGTCTCTTTTCCACTCAAGGGGCTCTGGGCCACAGACTGACAAGCTGAGGAGCCTCAGCCTGAGGCACTGAGCAGGGACGGGCTCACCTGGGCCCTGAGAGAGGAGGGGCTCACCTGGGCCCTGAGAGGGGGAGGGGCTCACCTGGGCCCTGAGACGGGGAGGAGCTCACCGGGGTCCTGAGCAGGGAAGGGATTTGCCTGGGCCCTGAGGAGGGAAGGGACTTGCCTGGGCCCTGAGGGGGGAGGGGCTCGCCTGGGCCCGGGGGGGGGGGGGGGCGGGCCGGGGCCGTGGGGGGGGGGGGGGGGTCTCCTCGGGCAGTGGCAGGTCTGCTGCACTCATTCCCTCTGCTGGTGCCCTTCACCCATTGTCCAGTTTGCAAACTTGCACAGCCTCCACCCCCACCTGGGGATTTGCCCTCCCCTCGGGAGCAGGAGGGACCACCGACGTTTCCTTCCAGGAGTTACCCAACCAGGCGTCCAACTGGTCGGCCGGGCTGCTGGCGTGGCTGGGCATCCCCAACATTCTGCTGGAGGACGTGCCCGATGTGCCCCCCGAGTACTACTCCTGCCGGTTCAGAGTGAGCAAGCTGCCACGGTGAGGCAGGGCCCCCGCCGGAGGAAAGAACGGGGCGAGTGGGCCTCGGTGGGCGAGTGCGCGGAGGGGTGCTGCCCGAGACCCCTCACTGCGTGTATTTCCAGAAGCTGCTGCATCGGCCAGCCCAGGGCGGTCGTGCTGCCGGACAGATGCACACCAAGGCCTAGTGGCTGGACACACAAGGTCCGGGTCCCGCCAGGCACGCGTGTCGTGGGGCAGCACGGTTCCCGCTCACCACAGTCTCTTGGGGCCTGGGCGACTGTGGACGCAGAAAACAGGGACGCGATTGGCCCATGCTGGCTCCTGGCTCTCTCTCCTGGAAATGACACCTGTGTTGTCCACACAGAAATGACTGGACAAAGCCAGTCCCTCTGGCACCAGGCCTGCAGACTGCGGGAGCCCAGAAGTGGCAGGGACCGCTGTGGGGGCCAGTGCCGAAGGTGGCCTTTCTGCCACATGGGAAGCCTCCTTTGGGGGCTGGTGGGAAACTCAACCACCCGTGGCTTCCCGAGATTCCGATTTCCCAGGGAGGCCCCCTGCCCAGCCACTGTCCACACTGCCCGAGCGCACCTCGGCCCAGTGCCGGAGCTTCGGGGCAGGACACAGGATGGGGTGCGCAGCCTGGCCCTCTGCGCCACCCTGCCCTGTGCCTGAACACAGTTCAGGTCCCCTCGCCCTGTGCGTGGTGAGGGGGCCTGGGTATCTGGGGCCTGCTGTGGCCTCCAGTTCCTGGGGAAGGCCAGAGGCCAGCTGGTCTCCCGGGGTGAGGGCTGTGTGCGCAGGCGCGTGCTCCTGCACCTGGGCCCCAAACGTTCTGCACTGTTCACGTGCCCACAGCTTCCTCGGGAGTGACAACCGGGACACCTTCTTCACAAGCACCAAGAGGCACCAAATTGTGAGTGGGGGTCCCTGCTGCGGCCCCAAACCTGGACCCGGATCTGAGGATGCTGCCAGCCCCCCAGCCTCTGTGGATGCAGGAAGGCTCACTTGAGATCAGAGGGCGGAGGAGAGGCGTGGAGGCTTTGGAGACTTTAGAGGCTGACCTTACCGGGCAGGTCATGGCCTAGGATTGGGGAGGGATGGGGAAGGGCCCAGTGCCCCTCCGGACCCCAGGGCTCAAAATAGATACTGGATTTATGGACCAGTGGGACAGCTGAGACCAGCCCCAGGCAGGGTGGGTCCTGCTGGCTGGGAGCAGACCCGCCCTGAGCGTCCTCTGAGGATGGGTGGCAGCAGGTGCAGTGGGGCAGGCCCCAGGCACCCCGGCAGGAGGCTGGCTCTGAGACCTGTGGGCAGGAAAGGGCCTGGCCAGGCCTGCCCAGGAGAGACCTGGCTGACCACCATGGGGCCACAATCCCATGGGCTGCCCAGACGGGGGGCAGGGCACACCCTGGACACAGCTGGCTCCCCAGCTGCAGTGCTTACCATCGCCCAGGGTGCGGGCCCAGAGTAGGCTGTGCACAGCCAGGCGGGGCCCAGCTTTGAGTGCAGACTCAGTCCTACCCTCTGTGTGGCTCTGGTCAGGGCCTCTGGGCCCGCAGAGCGGGAGAGTGAATGCCACCGGTGCAGGGGCGTTCTGAGCGTGAGGCGGTGACACAAAGCCCCAAGCCTTTCCGTTAGATAGCGGTTGTCACCAGAAGGCTGCGGGAGGCCACCCGTGGCCTTGGCCTGAAGACAGGCTCGTGAGGATGTGCCACATGACAGGTGACCTCCGCCGTCCTCCGCCCCTGCAGCTGTTTGAGATCCTGGCTAAGACCCCGTACGGCCATGAGAAGAAAAACCTGCTTGGGATCCACCAGCTGCTGGCGGAGGGTGTCTTTAGGGCGGCCTTCCCACTGCATGACGTGAGTTCGGGGCTGGGGCTCCAGCCTGGGCATGGGAGACGAGTCCTCTCGGGTCCTGCTGGCCCCCAGGGAGGTGGGTGTGGGGCAGGCATAGCAGCCAGCGTGACCACCCAGGAGTCAGAACACTAAACACACACACATTCGGTGAAGTGGCAGGCCATGCCGTGGCCCCAGGTCCAGCCCTGCTGGGACCGCAGCCCACACTGCGGTGCCTAACATGGAAACAGCCTGGTCCCTGGGGTCTAGATGCTACCGCTCAGGCTCTCCGGGTAGCTTCTCTTGCTGGGAAAAACGGTGAGGTCTCCTGTCCGCCTCCAGAAGCTGGGTAAACTGAGGCAATGACAAAAAGGGCACTGACCACAGCAGCTGCTGCTGCACCTGTTCCTGTCAGCCTCCATCATCCCTGAGAAAACAGCGACCTGAGGGGCAGGAGGCTATTTACCCGCCCCCCCAGAAGGGCCCCCCTCAGCTGAGTGGGGGGGGGGGCATCGCAGGCACCCAGGGCATCAGGGGCTTGGTTAGACCCGAGCCCACTGCTGTGTGGCCATGGGGCCAGTCCTGCCGCAACGCCGTCATGGGGGTAAAATGAAAAAGTGGGTGTGGAAATGCCAGGTGTCCCACCTCACTGGGGCAGCGCGGCTCCTCCTACCAGCCAGGGCTCAGGACACACAGCACGGGACACCAGCCTGGGGAATCTCCAACCCAGAGATGGTGCTGGGCCTGGACCACGCCCACTGGCTTCTCCCACGGTGGCCTCTCCAGGCCCCTCCCTCGCTCCAAACCCTTGCAGCCCAGAAGTCAGAGGGGCCTCCCCACACAGAGAGGTCCTCCCGGACCACCCTGAGCCCACCTTCACATGACTTGTTTTCATGTGGCAATCCCAAATTCCCAGGCTGGTCTGCCCGTGTCCCCTGAAGCCCCCACACCTACAACAGTGCCCAGGGGGTTAAATACCACCCACAGGCCTCTCGTCCCCAGGGCCCCTTCAAGGCACCCCCAGAGGGCCCGCAGGCTCCACGCCTCAACCAGCGCCAAGTCCTGTTCCGGCACTGGGCGCGCTGGGGCAAGTGGAGCAAGTACCAGCCCCTGGACCACGTGCGCAGGTACTTCGGGGAGAAGGTGGCCCTCTACTTCGCCTGGCTCGGTGAGTCCCCCTCGCTGCCCCCAGACCGCCTGGGCTCCCCCAGCTTAGCCTGGTCTCAGGTTGTAACAGTTTGCCAGTCCGTGCCCCTGGAGCGCAGCGCGCGTGGGAGCTTGGCGGTGGGCGCAGCTCTCGGCCTGGCCTCGCTGACTCCTGACGGGCTGCGCTCCAGGCTCCCACCCGGCCCAGCCACTGTAACTGGGCGCCATGACTCCGCTGCACTCTGGCCTTCTCGTGCCCCAGCGACAGTGCTGAGAACCCCTTCTGCAGGTGGGGGTCTCTCCTGACTCCATCCCCGACTGTCACTGGCTCCCCAGATGCAATCCATGAGGCCCTGGGGCCACTCTAGGAACATCCATCCCAGGGAGGTCGCCCCTGCCTGGGTCCAGGCCAAGCCTCTCACCTCCAGGCAGGGCAGTGCCTTCTAGGTGCCCGTCTGTCTGCACTCGGCAGCCCCAGGGCCGTTCCTCCTGGGTCCTGGCTGCCCTCACCCTGCTCCGCGCTCATGCCCTGCCTTCCCCATCCTGGGTCAGCCCCAACCCTTTCATTCTGTACTGCAGAACTTCCAAAGGCCTTTCTCATCCCCACACACTGCCCCACAGTGGACCCAGACAGTGGAGCTGGCCCGGGCAGTGGGTGGGGCTGGCGGCTGTGGATGGACAGCTGGGCACAGGCTTGGGGCGGAGGCGTACCCGGTGTGCCAGGACCCACCTGGCCGTCTTGGGGCCCGAGCACAGCCCTGGGACAGCACGCCAGGCTGGGGGCGGCTGGGGCCTCTGGAGCAAGCAGGGCCAAGGCTGCCTCTGTGCTCCAGGCACTGCGTTTCACAGCAGTCACTGTGGCCAGCAGAGGCAGGCAAGAGACAGGACACCAGGTCCGGGTCTGGACTAGCCCCATGCAGGCAGATGGGGGTGCATGCTGAGGGCCCGGGGTAACAAGGGGATGTGCCTCTGGACAGGTGAGGCAGAGGCCAGGGTAGGGGTTGGGTGGTGGGGAGGGAGGCACCGGAATGACCTGCAGTTTCCCTGGGGCTGGAACAGGAGGGTGCGGTCCATGGTTCTGGGGTGAGCAGGACGTGGGGGACTTCTCCCGTCCATCCCAGGCAGGTTGGTTGGAGTGAGCTGGGTGAGGAGAGCATCCAGAGGTGGAAAGCCGGGTGGGCTGGAGCCCCGGGAGCACAGGTGTCGGTCATGTGGCAGGGGTGTCCAGAGTCTAGGGAAGAGGCCCAGGAGTGTGGGGCTGTGCCAGAGCTGCCAGGGAGAGCTGCGCCCCTCTTGGCTTCCTCGCATTGGGCCCCAGCCCCCTAGCTGGGCAGAGAGTGGGTCCCTGGGGGACAAGCATGGCTGTGCAGACCCCTCCTGGGCCCCATGCCTGGGTTTCTAATGGCGGACCCCTGCCGTCCCCATGCAGGGTTTTACACCGCCTGGCTCCTGCCAGCAGCAGTGGTGGGTACGCTGGTGTTCCTGACGGGCTGCTTCCTGGTGTTCTCAGACATCCCCACGTGAGTGTTCTGGCAACACAGCTCTGCGGCCTGGTGCTGGGCCTCCAGGGGGGTGTGGGGCAGGGGGACCCCTAAGTGCTAGGGCCTGTGCAGAGACCTGGTGATTGAGGTGACTGGTGAGCACATGCCTGTCCTCAGGAGTGTCACAGAGAGCCCTGTGGACGTGTCTGAAAGGCTGGCAGGTGGTCAGGAGTAATCCCAGGCTGACACAGGTAAATAGGAGTGCTCCCAGGCTGACACAGGTAGGCAGGAGTGCTCCCAGGCTGACAGGTGGCCAGGAGTGCTCCCAGGCTGGCACAGGTGAATAGGAGTGCTCCCAGGCTGACACAGTGGGCAGGAGTGCTCCCAGGCTGACAGGTGGACAGGAGTGCTCCCAGGCTGACACAGGTAAATAGGAGTGCTCCCAGGCTGACAGGTGGACAGGAGTGCTCCCAGGCTGGCACAGGTGAATAGGAGTGCTCCCAGGCTGACACAGTGGGCAGGAGTGCTCCCAGGCTGACAGGTGGACAGGAGTGCTCCCAGGCTGACACAGGTAAATAGGAGTGCTCTCAGGCTGACAGGTGGACAGGAGTGCTCCCAGGCTGGCACAGGTGAATAGGAGTGCTCCCAGGCTGACACAGGTGAATAGGAGTACTCCCAGGCTGACAGGTGAATAGGAGTGTTCCCAGGCTAATGCAGATGGGCAGGAGTGCTCCCAGGCTCACACAGGTGTGCAGTTGTGCTCCCAGGCTGCCAAGTGGGCAGGAGTACTCTCAGGCTGACACAGGAGGGTAGGAGTGCTCCCAGGCTGACACAGGTGGGCAGGAGTGCTCCCAGGCTGACAGGTGGGGAGTGCTCCCAGGCTGACACAGGT